CGCTGCGCCCTGTACAGCCGGTTGCCTGTACTTGGCGCGAGACTCGACCAAGTCTCTTGATTTGATCAGAGCGTACCGCTCCGAGCGCCTGATTCCGTGAAATTCTTAAAATTCCATTCGATGTTCATATCTGCTGGGTCCCGTTGGTAAAAAGTGGAAACTCGCCTTGCGAATTTGAAAGGATTTTTACGAAATAAAAGTGAACGTTACGATAGAAACGTATATATCAACTGCGATCTGCTCTGATCGAAGGTCAATACACGAGTCTTTATTTCAAACTCAAAACTCTTGGCACTCAGCGCCGGAGTCTTTAAAAAGATTTTCCTACCGACATAGTTTTCAGCTAATCAAATGCGAATTCACAAGGAACAAGGGAAAAAGACTGTGAACTTATATTAGCCGTTTTTTACTGTCGCTGCTTCGAAGAAAGGGCCAACCGTCTCCATTACAATCGTTGACACTTGACGTGCTGGCGATTCGTTGTCATACGTTAGCGCCAGAGGGGCATGATAAGTGGCGCCACCTCTGAGACAACTAGTGAACTTTCGATAAAATACTTCCGAATATAATTCGAAAATCAGCTGTATCTCGGAGAGGGTTGGATTTAGGGTTTTTTCCTTGATATTTTAAAAGATCAGGTCAAACCGCGATAGGGCACTTTAGGATAGGGCACGATAGGATGGAATGGAAATAATGGCAGTGAAAATGGAGCATAGCCGAAAAGGGGTGTCAAAACATAAGGGTGAAGGAGGAGGAGAATGATGCAGTTCGGACGGAGGAGAGTAAGTGAGAGACGAACTCATTCGTACTCTGGGATATTCGCAGAGGGCAAAAGAATATCCACGTATAAGTGTTTCAACATAATTTATTCGACAAATACGATAATGATACAGTATATGAAGTGCAGATGTACATACATATATGGTTTGCGAAAGATTAGCAATAACAATTCCATTAGAGATATAGTAAATATATCATTGCAATATAATATCCCCGCGCAAAATGTCTCCGACAGAGGGTGACTTTATACTAGCAGGTGCTCAATAGCACCCGCACCTACCCCAAGTGAAGAAGACCCCCAAGCACAAGCACAAATAGGACTTTACCCAGAGTCAACGGACTACCCCTCCGACCTCCCCACCGACACATAGGATCGTCTCTACCCACACAAGTGCCCAAGGGTCAACGACATGTTGGAGCGTTTTTAGCAAAGCGAACAAATTAAACTAAATACGCGAGAGCTAGACACCTGGTTAGATTCACTATACGAAAGACCATGGCCGTAGATACCCTAAGGGGGCTCAAGTCCCCCGTCGAAAGACCCATAAGGTCCTGTTGCGGCCACAACTTGGGCCCGACCCACTGAGCAAGCTCAGCGGATGAGGCGGAAGGGCAACCCCCGACACCATGGTCTTTACGTGTAGCTGCACTAACAGGGTGACTACTCTTATATGACTACTTGAATTAATATGCTCGACCCGACCAAAGGAATGGGAAAAGTAAGAGAGAACAAAGCGAAACGAGAAGAAGGAAAAGAAGATAATAATAAAGAAGGGAAGAAGTAGAAAAGTAAGGAGTAGAGTTATAAAAGTAAAAAAGAAATAAGGAAAGTAGAAAATGAAAGATAAAGAAATAGGAGAAGTAAAGAAGAGAGAAATATAAAAAAAGAAGAAGGTTAGAGACGAATAAGGGGGGTGTCTCCAAGAGACCAGTATATAGGAGACCGGCTCGAGGAGGAATGAGCGCTCCGAGTCCGGGCACTGCCTCGATCGCTCCCCCCCACTCTTCGCCTGCTCCCACCCACCGAGTCCTGCGCGACGAATTTGCGCGCACACAATTTTTGGCAACTTCCAGTACTTCCAAATATGCTTAGCCAGAATTTCGAATTTCTAAGTGTTATTTTACTTTATTGATTTAATTAATTATTTTAATGTTCCAAACATCTAATTTATTAATATTTCAATTTGAACGTAACTTATTTTCGATATTCTACATTTTCAATTCAATTTTTATCTACTCCGTATATGCTGCGAGATTTTGATTTAGCCTCAATTTTATATTTTGAATAAATTTTGAAAGTAAATCAAGATCCAATAATATTTAGTGAAAAATGAGGTGCTACACGGATGTTTAGTTGGCACCGCACTTTCTTAAAAATGTCTTTAAGATGTTTCAACAGTTCTTGAGAAGTTCTGTAGTTCCCGGTCTCGTTCTAAGGGTGGCTGTAGGAACCAGCGTTGAGTAGCGGAGAACATCTGCTCGCCAAACTGCACGTTCGTGTTCACGTTTAGCTCGGTTACGACGGGATTCGCATTGTCAACGGAGGCGATGATCACAAAATCCTGCTCCCGGACTCGCCACTACGATTTAGCGCCATGATTTTGGTATCGCCTAAAACCGTAGTGTTGTGCATCTCCCTACTCATCTTTGTAGATGACGTCAAATTAACGCCAAATACGTCTAACTGGCATATATAACACGTATAGAATACGAATATGCACGTGTAGGACGTGCAAGTGTGGAATATATATATATGTATTTTTTATCACATTTTCTCACCAATCTGAAAATATCTAATATTCAATTTAGTCAAAATTTACATGAATTTCCTTTTATTTTTTTGAATCGTTTAATTGAAAAAACGAGCGTCCATTTATGAGATTTTGTTTCATTTTTCTTCCGCAGGCCTTTGTAAAACATTTTCTATTGAAACTTTATTTAAATTTTAGCAATGCCATATGAAATCTCAATCTTCGTTACCCCAAAAAAATCGTATTAAACTTCTCGATTAGATAATTATTAACTAGTTATAAGCGGTTAAAATTACAAAAGTCCAATTTGCACTCGTCTGATGATTAACGAGGATGAAAATACGTGTCGTGTTTAAGAGAAATTAATGACGTTTATACGTATGCGGAAAGAAGAATGTTTATCAAGAAGTTATTTATTTGATCTGCTGAGCAGTGTAGATTGTGTAACATTTCACATTTTTGTCATAAACAATAGGGCGTTTGCGTACTTTCTGTTCCTGTATTTGTACTGGGCAATCTCTCTTATTGTTTACTAACAGCTGTGTCCACGTAATATTAAAATTACGTGCGACATTTCCCATATGCTTTGGTTTATATAAATATTAACAAAAGAATTTGTCAATGCTCTAATATAATTAAATATACGAATAGCGTGCGTCACCGCTCTGCTATGTCATTAATATAAAATATAAAATTTATATAAGCCCTACTAATGCGTATCTTAATTATAAAATTTTACATCAATAGAACAGTGGCATATTGATCCATTAATGGTTCAGTGTCTGTTTTTAGATATTTAGTTCTGATGCTAAGAAAACACATTTTTGTCGTTGAAAAAATATATCAGGTTTAACATAACAGTAAAATATTTGCATAGATGATAACACCGTGGGATTTCGTACAAAAAAAATTGTGTGTATAGAAATAATCAATTATTGATGCTTTTCTGGCCATTTTCTGTTTTCAAATCCAAAAAACGACTGCAAAAGCGATCGCAAGAAAACACTCAGAAGCATTATCATTTAAAAAAATCACTGATGGATCTTAGGATAGGTATTGTAACAATAACAATACTATTATATGCTTATTATTATTATCATATATTATCCTTATAATATGAATAATTATCGCGCAAGTATTTTCAAACCGTGAAACTTGAAAATATATGAGCAGCGAGTTTCCAAAAATATTTCAATCAAGCTGATATCATTACTAGAATAAGTTCCAATGAATCAATTTGATTAATTAAATGCTGTTAAGTAAAGGATGAAAATCTATATCTTAATCCTATATAACAAAGGCCACGGAAGAAACACATGAGACCAACAAGTGATAACAGCTCGCTCCAAATCGATACAGTATCGATATCCAAATATCGAAGCAGCACTTTAGGATCATCAAAATGACAATAAATCTCAGTTTTAGGACATTCGAGTCGTTGACGGCCATAACCGAAAACTGCCAGAACCAGTCCTACTACGCCGCAGCGAATAAAACTCAATCTCATCAAGGCATTCATGTACCAGGGTATGTCTTTGGCAAAATCAAAACCATAAATGGCCAATCCGAGAAAAGGTGCAATTGCTGCTGGTCCGACCGCACATCCATTCTGTTAAACAAAAACATTAAAGAACATTATTTTTTTCTTAATACAAGTTTGAATTATGCATAGAAAATTATACCTATATGGGGTGTATTCCAAAATTTCCCTGACAGTAATTTCGGAACATGTCCATGGTAAATAAAAAAAAAAATTACACGAAAGACAATAATTATTGTTGTCAAAATTTCCAAAGATTTAATTTATACACTGAGCAGATAGTCACGCAGCAAAATATATTAGCACATATAATAGCACATTGATGCGATGATCCAGTTATACAGAAACTATTGCGAAATAACTATACAATTTTGTTCTTTCAAGGGCATTTTTGACAGCCAAGTATGACAATATGTTAATCAAATTACAGAGGTCACGTACTACTCCGTGACGTTACTTACATAAGTAGCCCATACATTATAGTCGAAATCATAAGTCACTACTGTATACGAGGATAATAATGTAATATTTGTATTCTATTTTTGGGATGAAAGGATTAACTTACTGCGTACAATGAGATAAGAAGGTTGGATGGAAAAAAGTTTTACCGTAATATTGAATACCGATCCGATGGCCAGGCCAATACCTTCTGCCACTAACGAAACAGCATTTCCAATTAATGAAAACATCGTGAACCGAATTCCTTCATGTGGTAGACCTGTCATGCCGTAAGCCAGTGAGACAAAAATCATATTTAGGAATATCTGAAAGATATGAAGGTTTTAGCATATTTGTATAATTGACATTTGACAGCTATAGATTATTTTCATGAAATCTACCTGCACTGGTAATTTTGAGACTGTTAGTGCAGCATAATATGGCGTTAAGTCATACCATCTATTAAAGTGTTCCTTTTTAACCAGTTTCACTTCCGTTGGAACTATAATAATTAGAAAAATCAATAATATTAATATCTTATTTTTTCCATTATTGTAAATATACTACATAGATATATAAACAGTTATTTAGCGTAAACTTAATTTCATTATTCATTAAACTCACAGACTAAGACCGGTACCATCAAATGAGTGTAGGCAAAGAAGATGATGACTCCGATGCAAAATTTCAAATGATTAAACATCTGGGAACCATCCTGTGCTCGATTATAAAATACAATACCTACAGCTAGACCGCATAAAAGATAATGGAACAGCTGTACCCATAATCCAGTCTACGGATAGCAAAAGAATAATAAAAAATGAATGTAACAAGTGTCAGAAGTAATTATCTGAAAATAAATGTATTCCATCTTTATAAATTTACCTTATTCCTAGAAATTTGTAAGAGCATTCGTCCAAGAAGAACGGTAAACTGATGCCATCCTGAATTAGGATAATCATAAAACTGTTCAAAATCTGGACATATCTGTTCAGAATCTATAATACTTTTTTTTTCTTCCCTTGTTTCGGATCCATCAATATCTCTTTTGCCATTTTCAATGGAATTCGATAGTAACTCAATATTGCTATCATCCTCCGTTATTTCAATGACTGCAGATCAAAATGCATAAATGATTACAACATAAAATTCTTGTAGCTTTTATAAAATGACTTATACATGTATCACAACTGAAATACATACTAAAATCTGCTGGATTATAATGGGTAGGACATGGTCGATTAACTTCCTCCAGAAAAGTTATCAAGGAATCTGGTTTTCCTTGATAAACACAACGTCCATGCGCCATTACATAAACTCTATCAAGTAGCTTAAAAAGAGATGCACTTGGTTGATGCAGAGTGCATATAACAGCACGACTTCCATCGTGCGCCAAGTCTCGTAGCAAACGTAACGTTTGTCCAGAAGATACTGTATCCAAACCACTATGCAAATAAAAATTATACTTTTAACTATTCGGTACTTCAATATTAATTGATGATATATCAATCTCTTATTCAGGACTCACCTAGTTGGTTCATCGAGAAAAAATGCAGGAGGATTGTTTACCAATTCCAATGCTATAGATAATCTTTTACGTTGACCCCCTGACAACGATTCTGTCCTTACATCTGCACATTCCGTAAGTCCAATTTTTGCCAAGACTTCTTCCACCTGTAAAATATAATTTTATATATGTATATGAAAACAAATCAACTGTGTTTTGAATCCGACTGTGTTTTGAATGTAAAATTAATTTTCGAGTTATCATCATAAATTGCTTCAACGTTATTGTGGAGTACAAAAACAACTCGTTTGAAGTTCTTGCACGTAGCTGTACGATGTTGCAAAAATGGTGAACCAATCTGGCGTAACTGGCTTTCTCTACAGTAGAAAATGCTTAATACCATCGTAGCTTCGTGTTATTGCAGTGAAATGAAAATCCGTAAATTTGGAATTGTCCACCCATTATAATTTTTTACTTCCAATCAAGTCATGCATAAAAGCGTTTCTTCCTAATACCGTCTGCTCGAAGGCTTTTTTAGTGGTTCTTGCAATGGCTGGAAGTTTCAAAGCAGCAGCGACCCTGATAGCCTCACGTGCAGTCAAAAAAGGCTGAAGAAGGTCCTCTTGCGTAATGTAACATCTGAGTCGACGGAATTCACGATTGTCGCGAAGCTTTCCGTTCACAAGAAGACGACCGGTGACGCCTAAGGTTCTGAAGAACGAAGAAGATTCATATTATTTTTTTAATGTACTGCCATTAGCATTGACAATATTAAATAGCACAAATCTCGCAGTCTTAAATATTCCACGATTAAGATTTGTGAGTGGAAATGAAAGTAAATGCACGCTTAGCTTAATCATTCGAATTCATGCATAGCAATTACTTATTAATGTGTTTTCATCACACCTGTAGCCGGAGACTGCGTGAAGCAGAGACGTTTTTCCAGCTCCGGAATGACCCATGATCACAGACAGTTCGCCATTTCGAAAATGACCCGTGACATCGTTGAGAATTTGACGGGAACGAACTTTAATGGAAAAAAAAAATAATAATAACTTAACATACAATTATCGTGATAATGAAAACTATTATTTATAAAGTAAAAACATATTTTTATGTTATTCATACGTTGGTAAAAAGATCGGAGTGATTTGACAATATTAACGAAACATTATTTTAAATTTTGTTATTTTGTAACGATCAATATTAAATATTAATTATTAATTACCATTAATCGTAATCGTTAAGGATCACTAACCTGAATGACCTCGGTCCCGTACTCTGTACGTCAGATTCTCGAATTCGATATTCATATTAAGTCCACAATTGTCTTTGGCTTCCAAGATGTGTTGGTGCTTTTATATATTCACCTTTTCAAGTAAAGTCAATGAATATCATTTGAATTTCTACAAGGGTTATCACAATATACTTTATAGCATCTGCGTACAGTGATAATATCAGATAATACAACGAAAAGTTTGATCATCACTTTCCGCTGACGTTTAATGCCATCATCGTGCAAGTCACGGTGATCGAAATTTCCACGGTAAAAAGAGTAAAGAAACTTTTGACGGAATACTAAAAACAAAATATTTGGAGCGCGGAAACACGATTAGAATGTTTTTCGACGCTCGATATAGTTTTTACAGTCAATTCAAAAATATCGGTCGAAAAAAGGTTTTTGGAAAAAAACAAATTTAATGATATATTTTTTAGTAAAAGAAGGAGAAAAAAATAATATTTTTTCTAGCCACACGTATCCGTTTCGTTTTCACGTAATTTTTCTATTATTCGTCCTACCTTGTGCATGAATTTTACATTGGAATTGTAGACAACTAAAAGCGAATATATCGTACAGCCTTTTGCGCACATGTAATAATACATAATAAGATTAGTCCCATATACGAATTCCCTTATGCAGTGCTAACGTTACAGCGGGTAAGTCTAAATTTTCAAACACGCAATATACCGTATTTACTATTGTGTCGAATTTAACACAAAAGACTGTCTCGGCGTTAATCAGACGACATCGAATACAACAACGGAAATGGTATATAGCATAAGTCGACGCACTGTAGATAAAAAAACTGGATGGTTCAGAAAATGCTTCCTGCCACTATCGCGAGAACAAAGAAGAGCAAAATCGAATAATCTTGCAAGAAATGAAATTGATCGAAAAACGTGGTCAACGAATTTTATCAGATTTTCATTCGTATTGACAATTTGTTCCTGCGCGATTTTTTTCCAAAATAAATTGCAGCGACGACTCAAAACATTTGTGTTATTTTTCACTTAAAAAGACAAAGACGTCTCACCCTATTTAAAATTATTAAAAAATTAGCGCCGCTTGAAAACCGCACAAGGAGTTATTTAAAGGAAATATATTTATAAGCACGTAAAACACCACGTAGTTTTCACGAATCGTCCGTCTTATTCTTCCCGCCGTAAGTAACTGACTCGCGTAACAAAATAGCAGTAAGCTAAGCCTCCTGAGGTAACCGAGTAGTATACTGTCGCTCAACTGTACGCTTCACAGAACGGGCACAGCTAGGCACAACGGCCACTGAACGGACAAACCATCACTGCGTTCATCCCGATTTCACGTCACAAAAGAGAGCACACCGTTACGTGGCTTCTCTTTGGCTTTGCCAACGACGGAATTATAAGAGAGCGTGACGGATGCTGGGGAGACGGTGAACCACAGGACGATTTAATAAGAGATAGTATAAAATGAGAAGGTCGGTGACGCCTAAAACAAAAACATTATATTTCCGAGGATGAACTGAGTAATATAAGTTAAAGACTTTTTTTTCTTTTTGAAAGGAATTTGTGAATATTTTGCATTTTTAATGAGTAATAAATTGCACGAAATGTTTGATAAATATTCTATTTTAACGGTACTGACAGCGAGAAAGTTATTAAGTATTTGATAAAAATGACAAACATTTGCGTGTGAAGATTGCTTTTTTGAGTAAAAGATATGATTAATGTCAAAAGTCATTGTAGGGTAAGAAACTGCAGAGTATAACTTTTATTTGAGAATAATTTGAAACACATAAGCGTACTATCTCTGTATATATATCGCACTGTAATTTGATACATCAAGCCACTCACATTACTTAAATTGATTGAAGATGCGACTTTTGTGATGCATCATTTTGTATAAGCGTCCGTCGCTTATCGGGACGTTCTCGGTCGGTAACGAAGTTCCCATCTCATAATTATCGACAGTTCAGCGCGATGAAAAGCGTACATTTTTAATAAGGTTGTAATAGCGCGCGATTGTCAAATAAGCGTCAACGTGCTTTTCGTTAATTCAACTGGTAGACAAATGCGCCGTTGAAATTTTTCACGTGTTTTAATAGTAACATGAAACGCACGTTGGTATCCATAAAACAGTCGTCCGTGCGTATAAAATTATATTAAAACTTGCAAAACAGGCTTCGTCTCATCCAGCGTATTTTTCCAAATGGGGTATACGACATTTCGTCATCAACGTTTTATTATTTATTTACGCGTGACAGAAACTCATAATATCGGCTATCACGCTGAGAATCAATTAACAATTATTTCCTTTCGAGATCATTGATATTATTAGAAAAGTTCTTTGTATTTTACCTTATTCTCCCGTCGCGATACAGCCCCATGATGATACGTGTGATTAGATCAACGAGGCACCCATCAATTACGGCCCTGGCAGGAATCCAAGTGCCCAGTTTAGTGGGGGTTTACTGGCTGGGTCACGTGACATAGCTTGCGGCATCTCACCAAACGAAATGTTCTCACTCTTCCTCCATGAAATCAGCAAAGCAGACGTATTTATTGTATCCTCGCTCTACGCCACGGTGAAGATGAGTTTCTAGTCGGAAAACGGCTTGCACACGCAAGTGTGCCAACGCAACAAATAATAATGGAGTAAGTAAATACACTCGGTGATTTTGAGGGGCTTTTATCGGCAAGTAAAGACAAACGCTCGCGGAGCTATCGATTCGGTTGTCGCAGGCGAATCGCCATCTTGGTTTCGTGGTTCACGTTACGGAACGTAGCGAGATATTGGCTAACTCAAATTTTTCTAATTTTCATTTTTCTTTACTTTAAGTGTTTTGAGTTCTGCTTGTCGTCGTGGTTTATCATTATGCTTTTTCCTGCTTTTCCTTTTACAATGACTCTGTACTTTAGACTTTACTGTACTGTGATGCTTTTCATGACGTCATTAATTATTGCATCATATAACACCAATAATCGTCATCTTCGCTAATTACGAGAACGAATTAATTCAAGAATCGTGTGGAATTGTCTGCTATCGATTTATACTTGAAACGCTGTGGATACGAAATGGAGAATTTTTATCAGAAAAAATACTCGAGGCCAATGACTTCGGTGTCACGATCTTCGCCTTGTGTAGAAAGTAGATCAGCGATCGATTTTTTGTGCCTTTTTCGTAAGAGAACATGGATAACTGTAATGAAGCGTTTGCTGAAAGAAATTGATATCTTGAATTTTTAATTAAAAAAAACTACTCGATATTAAGTCATCTATCGATTTAAATGTAGAGAGTATTTCCCGCCAAATTTTACCGTAAATTAAAAAACTTTACACTTTGTGTATTATAATTTAAAAATATGCTAAGTTAGATGCGATGAGTATATTATTTGTTAAATACTTGCAATGGATAATTTTTATCAAAAAAAAGGTGACATTTGTGATAACATTTTGTATAACGATTGCTATACGTATATCCAATGCATGATTATGTTTAACGCAAATTGCTACAGAAGGTCGGTATTGCGCAATATTTCCTGATACGGACAATTTTTAAGTTTTATTAAACAATTTTTATTTGTAATCATTTGATTTCGCAATTTAGTTCCAGAACCGGAAAACTTTCTGTTATAAAATCTTGCATGTCAGATTAAAAACCACGTAACAAAAAATGGTCAATTCACAAATTGAAAAATATTCAATGTAATAAATATTATTACCCGATTATATTTACGTTACAAAAAATATATAATTTCGCTTAATAACAAATACCTACAAAACGCGAAACAATGTCTAATGCACAATTTTTTCTCTTTATTTTTTTCAGGGCCAAAATGGCGCTCATTTCGAGCTACGTCGCTACGACGACACAAATTTCTTTTAACCAATTTTTAACACAATTTTATTGGACTCGCATCAACAATGTCATCCAATCAGGACCAAAAGATGTGGACGTGGAAGGTCGAGCCTATTTCCCCTAGTGGGACGCCGCCACCGGACACCAATGACGACGAATGGCTTTCTTTTGAATATGAGACACCTGTAGATACACCTAGCAATGCTACTGAACAACATATGTACGATGATCATCCGACAAGAGCACAAGTGGCTACAAAACTTTTAGAGGAACTAGACGAATGGATTAAAGAAGGTAATTGACATATAAATATTAATTATTTCCTCACTCTTAACCACTAAATCTCGTAATCTGTGTATTAATGTGGAGTGACAAGTATCTTCTTTTTGTTTGAAGTAATTTTTAGGCAGTACGAGGAACGTCTTTTTCTAACAGGAAGTTGGGGTAGCTGTAGTAAGAGGATCCTATGGAGGGATGGTAATTGATTTAGACAAAATGGACACTTTATTAAAATCGATATCAAATATTAATTATTAATTCCTTCGAGAAGGTCGATCGCATCTGCGCACAGGCAAGGAATATTTCCACAAAAGATTTTCCACGTGTCAAGGTTACTTTATTAAATTAACCTTTAATATCGTGATCATTCTAATAAAAATCAATCACTGTCTCTCCTGGTATGACACTCACAGTAAATTCTTGAAATCGATTAACAATATTACTAATTTTTATTATGCTGCAGTCTATAGTTTTAAGAACTTGCCATACATATTCAAAACTCCAATTGAGAATTCACAGTACCTAAAACGCTGTTACACGATAATAGTAAATATGTAAATTCGCTGAAAAAAAGATACGTTACAACACAAAACTATTTTCCTGACTAACAGATCTAATACGATGAACAAAAAATGGAAATGCACGTGTCGTTCCGGTGAATTAGGCTATCAGGAACAAACGGATAGAAGAAAAAGTAAAGAAAAAAAAATAATATCAAGGTTCCGTCAATTTGTAAGAAGCGATAAGAAAATCGATTGGATATCGGAATTGCAATCTGCTTGATATTCGCAAAGACTCACTCAATCCACGAAGATACACTTAATATCCCTAAGTGCTATTCCAATATTTTCATTTCTGACAGAAATTTGTCGAGCCGAAAAACGACAAGTATAAAAGCCTTGTCGTGGCATATATAATACAATAGAGTTCAATATGTGCGTAAAGAAATTATATCCTGTAAAAGGATCATCGCAGATTTCTTTTATCAAAAGGAATTCTTTAAAATCTATATTTAGAGTTGCAATGATTATGTCTCATCCACAGTAAAATTATCTATTTTCATGTCGCTTGTGCGTTCGATGACCTCAGTTCATTTTATATCCGTTCCTACGTTGTATCTAGAGATGAATGCGAACGTCAATGCTTTAAGGTTACGCGTATGGATATATTCGAAGGAGAAGGTAATTGGTAACCTTCATCAGATTAACATACGCGTGTCCAAAGATTCGAAAGGCATACTTGATAATGTTTGTCACATGCTGTCGGAATAGTACCAACGTGTTTGGCAGTATTGAAGTAGTTTATTCGCATGACGTAGGAAGGGGAAATGCGAAGGACTTCTATGCTAGAAAATTACCTGTTTGATCCAAGGAAAAGTTGTGTCTAAAGGACTACAGGTTGATTCAGTAGAAGTTTACTAATAGGAATTGACAGCTGGAAAGAGATTGCTAAAAGAGAAAGAATAACAATTTTTCTCAATTGACAAGTATGACAAGCATAGGAAATTTGATGCCATGACAATGCCAAATAACGCATGGTCCAAGGACTATCATATTAATCTGACACGTTTAATCTGAATAGACCTGTATAACATATATAACGTGTAACTAACTACTACTAACTAAGGTGTAATATTCATAAAATTTAATTGCATGAGAATTGCAAAACAAGAAAATACCTTGAGATAATTAAACTAGCTTTCCCTATTTACTGTTTGAAAAAAAAAACAAATTTAATAGCACCAAGAAACTGATAGTTACTCTAACAATTTATGATAAATACGAACATATTACAAGAATCAGATTTTACCCTAATTTAGAAAAAGATGGTCTTCGTGCAAAAGGTATTTATAAAATTTACCAAAAGAATTCCATAAACAATAGTTGTAAACGTAGTGCCATTAGTTTCTAACAGCCAATTCCGATCTTTTCTTGGTTTCAATCCCTTCGGTATCGAGAATGCACGTTGCAAACGTCTAAATAGTATTAACGACGTGCTTTATGAACGGTAGAGAATTTTTTCCAAATCTTTTTTATTCCACTAAAAAAGAGAGTGGAACAAACTGGTTAACCTCTAGGACAAGCATGTCTACCCGCAAACCTAGCGGCAGAGACATAAGCAAAGTAGGTACGGCCGCCTGCAAAGTATAACGCTGTAGGAGTAGAACCATTAGGAGTAAAAAAACAGTGGCTAGAGAGAGGGGGAGGCTTAGCTCGAAGGCATGGTAACAGAAAGTATCGGCCAATGGTAGTGGAAGTGGTTTGTGTTATATCGAAAGCAAAGTGAGAGAGCTGCACAATGTGTGTAAAGAAGGGGGAAGTCCAAAGAGATAAGCGCCAGCCAAATCCCTGCTGGTCTGGAGACACCGAGAAACGCTACACTGCTACACGATATACCATTACCAGATCCCACTTCTCCTTTTCCACGGTTGGCGCTTCGTATGCCACTACAGTATATTCCCCGCCGACGACTTAGATAGTGCGTCAGTCAGTCGGTAATAGTCCAGAGTCCCGTAGTGCAGTTCTGATACTGTTCGACATCACGTATCCCTAGAATCGTATAAATATTTGCAGCTTCTACCATAACGGATTATGCATAAATAACATAAAGTGGTAATAATTCGAATCTACGCAGTGAAATTGGTTGAATCGAGAGTGAACAGATATCTGTAACCGTTCTTGCTATTTTCAAGCACGCCTAGTGTTCAGTCTGGATATAGATTTCGTCGAGGATTGTTATCTAGATTTTATTTGTGCCTGTGTCTCGCGTATACACGAGGGTATGACGGTTATACCATAATTGAAAATCCGTTTTATGGAATTGCCTGTTTTCGTGAGGTTATAAAGGCCCGAGTTTCGTGTCTGGTGATACTGGCATCTTCAAAGGTGACACAAGTGATCGATCCAGCGTCTCGATGTTGGAGCGTGCTAATGTTGTATAATAGCATGCAGTTCGCCTATCGTTACACGTGGAACCGAGAGATCATTGTTGCATCACAAAAACTAGTGAAAAGACGTTGAATCACAATAGCGAATCGAAGGACTTAATCGTAACGCGCGTCGCTGCTAAAACAAGCCCGTCTTCTCCAAATAGGACGATACAACATCCATTGACGCTATTCAACAACGCAGGATCTTCTCATACAACACTCTTCTGCATCCTTTCCCTATCCTTTGCTTGGTTACCTTCGATCATCCTTTCCCATAAGAAACTGTTTTACGCTTCGCACTAGGAATGATGGCTGCTCTCTGTTATGGCGGTACGTTTATGATACAACTGTTAACGACAGATACAACTTCTCATTGCGTATGGTAAAATAGGTTATCGTGAATAGTGTTTTGGATAGAGATCCAGGAATTTGGAAAATTATTAACCGTCGCTTTGTGAAAATATGGATTTGTCGCGCTCAGGCATGTGACAATAGTGCGTTGGCATTTTTATATTTTTCTTGCTTTTAAAAGTAACACCTAAGTTAGGTTAGATCGACGGTGGGCTATACTCTACATAAGAATTTCATAGTTTTTGGCTACAAGATCCGCGTGGAAGGTCGAGCGGATACGAGCTTAACCGGTATCGGAGAATGGCGGACGCAGTCGTTGTGATTGTTGTTATGTTTCGTTTTTTCTCTTTCTTCTCAGCTTGCTTTTTTTCTTATTTCTTACGATCGTTTCTTCGCGAAACACGTTTAATCTACATCGGACGCGCGACGAAGATAACTGCTAGTCGGAATATTTTGTTTCTCTTTCTTCGTTGCATATTCTCTTGCCAATTTATGTACAACATCGTACTGCTGGGTTTCTCGATGAAGCTGTATGAATTATCGCACTTCACTGTTATGTCTGTTGCGCGCCAGGAAAGCGCCAGCCGCGTGAAGTTGGCTCCACTTGCAATTCACAAATGCCAAGGTCTTAAGAGTGCCGTCAGATGGAGCGTACTTAGCGCCGCGTATTTCTCGCAGCCAATTGCGAAGCCTCAATTTCGTTCTATTATCCACCGGAAAACTAACAACAATATGTAATTTATTGGCGCAAATTACGCGGGCAGACTAATTGTAAGTACGCTTCACGGGAAATCAGGCTTAAACCTTCCTGCGTCACAATGTATCTCCTGTGAATCCCCCGGAAGGCACACGTGGGATTGTTAATCTCACGTGATTTTATAAAATTTCAAAAAATGCGAAGTTTATATCAGGCTGCACTTGTCAGTTTTTATTACGTACTGCGAAATTTTTGAATTCTTCTAAACGTGAAAAATTGAAGGTGTCTGGTCAAGGCTATCGAACCTACCAATAATCCCGTGACCACTGTCAAGATAATGTCTAATACTCTAATGTACTTTAAAACAAAAACACAAAAATCTAGATGGCATTGTGGAGACAGACTATTTTAAGCCGGCCAGGATAAGATATTTCAAAGACTTGTAGATACAAAAGTTATTGGAAAAAAACATAAGGTAGGTATCGTCAGGCCAGAAGCAGTGCTTCAGATATTACATTAATCATTGTAGCGATAGTCGATAAAAGGTCTTGAGACATTTCTTTCTCTTTTTTTTTTGTTTTCGTTGAAATAACATATTTCAAAATTCTAATCCAATGGAATTTAAATGCATCCGTAACTATCGTTCGTTTCGATATAATCAGAATATTTCAAAAATTCGAGAGACTTCGCTATCCAATCCTAGAAATACGTGACGAATAGTTTTCTTACTATTGTCAATGAATACAAATCATTAGGTGACGAAAAGTTAATGATCAATTTATTGACCAATCGATTTACATGCATAACCTAACCTATCCGAATTTCAATAGGCAAACGATCAAATACAGTACTCAATCCATTGAATGAGAAATATAAAAGTCAGTCTTGAAATTTTAAAGGAAAAAGACGATGACTTATCTCCGTGCTGGAATATGATTATTCCGTTCACTGTAAGAACGTCACGTCCACGGATGATGACTCGAGTATCATCAGACCGCTTGTTCTAGAACAGTAGAAATATCAATTAGTTATATGGGTACTCAGTAACGATAAGAAATAAAAAAAATTTAGAAAAAATGTTTCAATTCCCATCCAACGCGTAATATTGAATTATTTTAAATCCAATAGAATCGTACAAGATGTATAAAATGGCGTAGCAGTCAGGTAGCAACAGTGAACATATGTTTACCTCGGAATTACATATATCGCTCTACCCTGTAGATACAAGTTGACTGCCGATGCAGAATACTGGCTTATCTAACCTCTTGCCCTCGGCATTTAAATAAAGATATGTTAGGAAGCGTCAAAGGAGAGTCGTGGCGGGAGCGAAGTTTCTTATGAAAAGTAGGTCAGGGCCGGTAATTCCGAATATAGAAATTCGTGCGTATCGGTGCACGGGGATCTGCGAGTGTCGCGAAATAAAAGCAAACGGAAACGCAAATATCTTACAGCGCTATAAAATTTTTACAAGGACACGCCGATCGTAAATTGATATTAATTCGACTCCATTGGGGGTACTTGCGACATCAATTTAATCGACGGGGAATAGAAAGTTTATTCGCTTATACATAAATAAAGGGACAACATATTCTCTGCGTTGGTCTTGTTTGTTCATCTTACTTTTTGTACATTTCTTCGCTTCCTCTTTTTTTTTTTTTTTTTTTTTTTAATAATTTTTTCTTATACGCGTCTATACAATTCTTTATCAGGATGGAAGTTTCTAGATTGTTGAGTAATCTTTTTTTCTTCTTTTTATTAAAATCAGCATTCCTTTCAAGAATTGGTCTTTTGAAATACAGGAACAGTACTTGCGTTGACTTTTTGTATTTTGATTTAAAAAAAAACACCTTATCACACGTCGCGATACGTAACGCAATAGTGTTACGAGATATTTTCTTTTTCCAAGAAGTCTAACGTTGTTCTTGACTATCGGTCGGTCATGTTTATTAATAAATTTTGAAATAATATAATTTGCGATTTTTTTTCAACAATCTGGTAATCACCTACGATCACGATGCACGTGAAATTGAATGTACTTAAATCGAGTTAAGAAAATAAATTACGAAAATTTGGAATTTTAATTATTTCCTGTACAGCATCGCTCCTTCGGATTTTAGTATTTGCGCGGATTCCGACGTGAGTTTGCGGCGAAGAAACCTGTTTGGTTCGTATTAGCATAACCAGTGTTAGGCTTGTCGTTGTGATACGAGAATGTATGAGACTGATAGAGACTTATAAAAGCGTATACGTATAGCATATTCAAAGAAATTTCAAAAATAAATCATTATCACCTGACAATCTGTGCAATTTGTGTTTATTTTCAAAATTGAAAAACACGACAAAGTTATATTTTAGTATTTTTAAAACAAATTGTTTATTATAGCCGTTATTAAACTTTCTACCCGGCAGCTGAAATCTTATCGTGGCCGCCTTGATTAGATATTCAAAGTTTTCGGTTTTATCGGCTTTCTACTTCCCCGTTGGGCTGTGGCGTCAAGCAACGACGATTCCCTCGTGCCAATATCACCAAACGGGTGCGACCGGCGAGAAATTCTTTCACGATAGTGAAAAACGCCGACATTTAACGTTATCGTGTTGACATAACCTAAATAATTTCGGATTATTATATTGAACATGTACGTAATTTTTTTTCCCTACATTCAATTAAGATTCGACGAGATTATCGATACAAGCGAAAAATTTTGCTTTCGATTGTCATTAAATATTTTTTAAAAATGATCACGCTCCAAGAAAACCAATAAACCGTAACCAATAAATAATCGCTATCAATTAAACGCATTCCTTTGGTGAAAGTTTCTTTGCCTTGTACGATCGTCTCTTTTTTTTCTCATGTTATCCGTGCTCCTACGATCATTGTCATTTACATTTTGCGTCATCTGCGCGTAACTTCTGACGCGCGGCTTCGAATCGCATTCAGTGTGAACATAGGAAATTGTCAGATCGCATTATACACCGTGGAGAAGATATACGGCAAAGGTGGGAATAATCGATGCTCGATCGGTAATAAGATTTTATCGCTATAAACGAGTCGTGGAAAGATTTTTTGTTACAAAAAATTTGTTTCAACCTTCAATTTTGTCACCACCCAAAACCGCTGCTACTTTATTGTATCAGATTGTAAAATTAATTGAAAGAGAAAAAGTTCGAGGTCAACGTTATCGTTAATCGTGTTTGCGATAGAGATTTATACGTTTCAAGGTCTGCAAGGTATCCGATCCACTGTAAACAGCACAGTGATTCATAATTGATTTGAATGAAGTGTCGCAAATGATTTCGCATCGCACGTGTTACTGAGATTTGTTCAATCAGAGACAGTTAAGGCGCAGGATGTTAGAAGTCTGAAGTTAGCAGCAGTTGCTATACAGCGTGCAGCCTACAAGGGTTCATTGAGCAAGATAGATTTTTCTGTAAAAACAAAAACAAAAGTTTACCAAAAAAAAGTTTTCTCAGACAATCTTAGACGAGGCTGTTATCGCTGGTGAGAATTTTGGTTTTTTATAAAAAAAATTTTTTACTTTTCCCTTCTCGATAAGACCGAAACTGTAATCGACAGTCGCATCCGTTGGGAACAAAACGTGCTGAACTTTTGTACGAGTCGGTTTATTCGTTGAAAAAGCAACGAATATTTTTATCGGGACCCACCGATGTCGAAACTATACAAATATCTTACAGACTGAGTATATATGAATGACAATACGTAAGAATTAAACATGGGAAATTAATAGACGAAATTCACGTTATCGATGTCACGTATTGTTTCAGGTTGCCGGGATGTCGCGGATTTTTTTATCGATACGTCTAACCATTGTATTTAGCGTTTGTCTGTGCAAACGTGTACATTTCGCTCCACTTAACTGGTCTTGTTGAATTTATCCTAATTTTTATCTTCGTTCACGTTATTATCTTCAAGAGTACAAAGTCTTTTATTAAATGCGTAGAAATGTTACCTATAAGCTATGTATTTTCTTTCAAAGAGATACTTCGGGACACGAAAAATCAAGGGACGTTCACAATAGCAAGCTAATGTTTTTTTTTTTTTTCAAACTACTACCTCGGGAAATGACCTAACCTAACGAAACGTTTCTAAGCCCATCACAAACATTGGATGCCTAACATTGAAAAAAATATAAATAAATTTGGTGAGACTTTATTTTCGCTTTATGGTCCTCAAAACAGTCATTACGCTGGAAAATCTTTGAGGACAGTCCCTAAAACTATCCTCAAAATAGCGACTTCGTAAATGATATCGTCCCCAAAGTATCCCCTAGCAACATATATAGCATATACATATATATATTTCATGTGTTATCGGTCTTTCGTAACATTCCAAAATAACACGCGTCACGGATGGCTAACGACTTCATGTTGACTTGCCGGCAAAGCGAATAGCGTTCGGAGTGGGGGAACCTCGTTAAATACTATTCTTTATGAGAAAAAATAAGAAAACGAGTTTCTCGTTTTCCTAGTTATTATTGCGCGCGTCCATGAGATTACATTTACATGGACTATTTGCCACACCCTGTAGCTGACGATAAGATGATCGAGGGGCGAAGGAAAATATGGACGAGAGCAAAAAAAATGTTACGGAAAGAATTGTTAGCTCATCGATATTTTCCTTGAAGTTACAGGTATAATTAATGATCATTGTTTATACCTTGTCGTTAAAAATTATTTATCTGGCGTCGGTCTATATTCACCCTATGCGTATGGCTGCTGCTCGAGCCATTCAGATTTTTTAAGATAAAAATGATTGTTTCTTTTTTCTTTGTCACAGAATTGAAAGTTGTCGTGGCGCCAATTGGAATGGCAAGTTGTATAAGAAAAAAAGAAAAAGAAAGAAAAATGTAATGGAAGCTTGAAGGCAGTCGACAAAATCCATCATTGTTAGAACTGGTGTAGGAGTAAATTAGCGTGACGGGAAACCAATGGCAGAGGAATTCTAAGAGTATTGATATCGATAGATTATATAGATATATTGCCTTTATATCTTTGCACGTTACATTACGTAAGAAGAAGGGATAAACAATATTTGTTCATTCTTTTCTATGGAATTTATACTGCAAAATGAATAATTCTAGTGTTTAATAATAATTCAATTATCCTTGAAGCAACATCAGTACGTAATACCTTTATTGATCCAATAATCAGAATGTTTTCTTATGAAACCATTTTTCTTATTTTAATCGAGTATTATTAATATATGGTTTTGGATTGCTGGTTTCGTTTGACACTATAAATTTCACTATCTGATAATTCTACTGAAGAATTAATTGGTGAGAGGAGATTGAGAAGTATTATTGTTATTATACCCTAGTATAAAAGTAGAGTGATTAGTAAAGGACAAGCATTTTATATTATATTGGGATTAAAGTCCAGCATACAGTCATTCTGTTGAGACTTGGCCAGAAGTATACGAGGAGATCTACCATCTACTTGTACAAAGAGAAATGAAAAGATAATAAAAAGTAAGATAACTTTATATAAACGTGCATCAATATCGTTCTAAATAATCACTGAATACTATTATGTATAAATAGAAAAGACAGATAAGACGAACAAACGTTACAAAAGTCATGCTTTGCCAGAATATCAGCTCTGGCGTAGCAGCTCAGAAAGATTTCTTTGTTCGTCCTTAAGAAAAGCAAAAGTTAAGGAAAAGCATGTAAAATTTTAGTCCGACCAACTAAAACTCATATTCTCTCTTGTTCGCAGAACCCTTTTCGAATTGGTTGGAGCAGAAAATAGAAATTCCAATATTCGACGAGCTACCAGCCCCAGAATGTGTCCAGAACCGTGGGATGATTTATCCCGAGTTGGTGAAGGAGCCACAGCATCAGCAGCAGGATACCACCCAGACGCTATTGCAAGAATTCGAAAGCGTCCTGGGAGACGTCGAAGCATGTCATCAGATAACTCCTCCAATCGGTTCATCAACATTAACACCACCGCAGTCACCACCTCCATTGAAAATTCCACCAACTGGTACACAGCTGTTAGTAACCCTACAGCCTCTCGAACCAATGCCAATGCCCATGATCACGCAGCAATCAAACTACCATACAATGACAGTTCCTGTAACAAAACAAGCGTCCTTCCTGGGACAATTCCCCGCGTCCCAGGCCAAGCTAATGTTCCCTGTTGAACAGTGGAACCCGGAGAACGTCTCTTTGGAGCCTCTTGGAGGAGACGTGGCACGTGAATTGGCAGCTGTTGATGAGTACGTACGTTCGTGCGCAGAAGATATACCACCAGCGAGCCCTTGCACCAGCTCCGGTGGCAGTTACATGTCATCGGAGGATTCTGTCGATGATCCTGATTGGACTCCAGAAAGCGTACCCATCGCTGAGACATCGCGGCCGGGACCTTCCTCTAAGAGTCGTCGCAAGCCTTATTCTCGACCGAACGTTGAGGATAAAAAAGTGCGCAAGAAGGAACAGAACAAGAACGCAGCGACGCGTTACAGGCAAAAGAAGAAACTGGAAGTCGAGGAAATACTTGGCGAGGAACGCGAACTCGCCGATCACAATGAAAAGTTGGAAAATCAGGTTAAAGATCTGCAGCGTGAGATAGGGTATCTGAAAGGTCTCATGAGGGACCTTTTCAAGGCGAAGGGTCTTATGAAATAATCCATTCGTTCAAATTAATCTTGTAACTTTTATAAATGTATCTTTATTTTTTTACTTTAATCAGTCTAATTCGTAGTCTTTTGACTTCTTAGCGTATATACATGTATATACCATAGGTAAATAATTATATACACATATATATGTATCACTGTATCGATCAGAGTGTACTGTAGCGATAACAGTTTTATTTTATACTTTCTTTTATTTTTATGAAGTGTAGCCACTTTAAATCACCAATTCTCGACTTGTCGTACATCATGTGGTTATTTGGTATTCTATCTGCCTACCACGTCACTAATTTTTAACATCTAACAAATCTTTATACATTGCTCCACGATGAACAGTTTTAAGAGAAACGTCACTAAGGACAAATTATCGTTTAGACGGGGCAGTCCTATGATGTGCTTCAATGTGCGGAAAATCTGCTGCTCCTGAAAAACTTTAAGATTCTATGACGCTTCTCCTTAACGCAGCGAGTCCTTTTGTCCTAAAATTCTTTTAATCAACGAATTATATTTTCTTACAGAAAATGTATTCGAAACTGAAATAAACGGTTATTCGGTAGAAACAAATGTTTATTACTTAAACTTGAACCTCACTGTCGTTAAATGATACACGGTAGAAAATTAATTAGCAATTAAGTAATTGATATATGTATATTGCAATCCCTACACCATTTTATGGTGTTGAATCGAAATTTGCATATATTGTAAGAAAATTTATTGTCTCAAAGCGTTTCTTTTTCCGTTACCAACTATGCTATAATTAAAGCAGCTGATTTGCTTGATACGAGTTCAAAGGACGTGGTGACAAGATCTTCAGGCAGCAGTATAATGAAATAACGGAAATTCTGCAATTTCCTGTGTATTGCTATTAATTCTATTTTATGCGTAAAGCAACGTTTAGTCCGGCGAATACGCCTGTGGATAGGCAACGAGGTGCACACGAGTAATAGGTATACTTTACAATAGCGGTATTAATACAGTATCTTAAAGATCTTAGAAGTACACCAGACTGTTAGTACGTCTCTTGAAAATCACAATAAGGTACACTTATTGTACAGCTGTACAGCCTAACAACAGCTGCACTTATTAAATAATGTCAAGTACCGTACGTTGTATAGGAAAAATTGTATGAGGTCTATAAATTCGGATTAGTCTATTGGCAGGCGCTACGGTCTGTAGTTATCTTGTTGCGGAATAGAAAATTGATAATCATTGCAGTAGAAACATAAATTACTGAAATAATTAACTTTTTCATTGATTTCCATCAAAGGTATCTACGCTCAATTATTTATCTAATGTATACCAGGCATAAATTGTTTAGGAAAATCAACATTTGTTACGCTTTCCGAGCTAGGAATTTTTCTATCATATCTAAAACCTAGCTGGTCTTTCGATTATTATATATTTTTTATCACGTCGAACGAATCATAGTAAACAAAGTAAAAACTTAACGAGCGTCATTCCGATACTTTTAATTAAATTACTCTTACCGGAATTCTCTGGGAAGTAACATTCTCTTGTAATACCCGTATACCTACGCATTTATGAAAACGTTTAACAGTCATTGTGTACATGGGTACAATTAATTTGTCAGTCTCGAAAAATTCAATCCCACGGTGTAATTCTATTGAATTACGAATATTGCACAATGCGACAGGCGACACGCAAAATAAATTTTCATGTCATTCACTATTGGAAGTTCGAGCAAGTCACGAACTATGCGTGCATGAGATGCACCTGAAACAAAAACCAAATAAGAATTCAAATACATTGAGACTCCATTTTGAATTGTCAATATATATATCGAATTTCCTCTAATTAATATTCACATTTTTTAATCAGCAGGATCATCAATTACCAAAGATCAATAATCGACTTCTCCGTGAAAACAAATGTGAAAGCACCCTTGACTTCGTTAGTGATACCTCGAATAGCTCAGATGTGAAAGCACCCTAAGTATCATGTTTATGGAAGTTTCTCTTGATATTAATCTGACTCTCTTTGCTTGTCGCTTGCAAGGCTAGCTTCTTGCTCTTTCTTGATTGTTGCTGGAAAAATGAAGCCTCGTAACTGTACGAAAAGAACAGTTACCCTCATGGCACGACTGTAGTACCATAATACGGTAAGTATAGACTGTCACGCGTTAGATTATTTTTGTTATTACGTTAAGAATTATCGAATAAAATAAAGATGTCAACTTATGATCTTTCTGTTACAATTAAATATCATATTTTTATAATTTTCTTTTGTATCACCCATATACTTGGATTTGAGATTCTTGTATACGGCAGAATGGTACAATAATTGTGCCTTTGAGATTTACTGTACTTTTGTACCTCGCAGCGATACTGCAAACAGATAACGTAAGATCTTTGACAAATTGCACATCCGTCGAGTCGTAAACCGTGACTCTCCTGACAATTTCTAGTACGCGAATCATAAAGATTACAATGCGCCATTATACAATTATTAATGTGCATACACATATAACACGTCTGTCTTAAATATCATCCACAGTGAAACAGTCCGTATGAAAAAAAAAAGAGAAAAGAGAAGGGATCATAGTATAATGATCAAATTTATCATAAATACAGTCTATTACGTTAACAAAAAATACATCCTTGTTAGGTCCGTCGATCCACGCTACAGATTTTTACAATGCCGTAAAAGATTCCCAAAAATACAAATTATACGTATATTTGTATCCAATAATCCATCACACAAGATTTCAACAAAAACAATAAGAAAAAACTAATGCAAGGATAATTAAATTTATTAATCCCGTGCTTTAAACTATGTAAGATAACCTATAAAAAAGTGACTATACATTGTACAACAGTATGCATACCTATGTATATCTGTATGGATCCCGCATCCATAAGAAGGCAAAGAACAGAGGAGGGATTCGTACAAGTGCACGTACTGGTTACAAATCGGGATGAGGTGTTCCCCACCTGCCGTTAAACTCAAGAAGGCAAGAGTACTCTCCTCACAGGAACCGTAGTGTAACTAATGCACCTTTCGCCTTGAGTACGTAGGTTCTACTCTCTGGAACCGAGGAGAACAGTCAGTCCGTAGAGAGAGAAGCGGAGAATCGCTTCTCCGGAAGATCGCGCGCGTCCTTTCCGAGTTGAGTCGAGTCGAGAAAGTATCGCCTGTTATTTTCGAGCATTTCGCATCCAGCTAGATCACGGTAGCGCCGTACCTTATTGGAGTTCGATTTGTGTACTAGAGTGTGCTATATTAAAGTGGGGTTATGATGCAGGAAGAAAATGTTGTATGATAATAATATACATATATTCTCCATCGAGCCGGTCGTATTATTGTAGCAAACGTACTTTTGGGTCCACGATGGTACGAGATTTACGAGAACTGCGATCGAGTGTGGTTGTGCTTAGTGTTTATCGTGGCGTGAAATATTCTCGTGGTGCCTGATGCCAACGGTGCTTCGATACGGGACGTTACACCATGTAAGAAGCAAAAGCGATTCTGTTCTTCCTTCGTTGTTGAATTTGTGATATTTTTGATCTAGTTGTATGAATTAACGTAGTGTAAATTTTGTTGAGGTTAAGTACGTTGCTTTTCAGACTGTCACCTGGACAGTTTGACGGATCGAACAATGACGCGCTTATGCTTTTATAGATTTTGTGCAGGAGTTTCTGTTTTTAAATCTTTTGGATTGAAATTGTAATTGGAGCTACAGCGGATTGGAGTGTCGTTCTTTTCTTTCTTGGGAATATGTCATTCTAGGAACAAGATACATATTTGAATTTTAAATCCCACGATGTAAGATTGTGCCTTTATACGGTAACATGGTGAAATCTAAGCCTGCTTGGTGTATCTTTTTTATTATTTTACATGACTAGACTGTTGATTTCCGAAACATTGAGTGCACTGAATATTTTTGAAAATATTTGTTCTACTATTTTATCTGATTGCGACGATCTGTTGACTAATCCAATGTGAGTTTATACGAAAAGAATGAACCAGTCTACGTCATTCTCATACGTATCTTAACTTATCTTGGGACTATTGGGAGCGCAGCTGAAATTCTTTTCACATTTAATCATATTAAAAAAATTTTTGCAAATGAATCCGTGACGTAGATTGCGCTAGAGAATAACGGATGGATCAAAAGAGTAATTAATGCGCATGACGTTACTTAATTCTTACCTATTTATTACTTACATGTACTCGATTACATATGCGGCAAAATTTGATTTACAAATTGCAAAAAAGCTTGGTTTGAATAAGTTTGAAATTAATTTTCTAAACTAGTGGGCGAATTTCGAAAAAGGTGGTCTGTGTACCTGAGGAGCATGATTGATTACGTTAAATTGGAACAACGTATTTGAATAAACTCACCGTGTCTTATTTTCACTCGAATGTTCATAGTATATGTATATGCCATTCGATTATATCGATAAAATCACATATAAAACGCAAACCACGTATGGAGGCTTGGAAAGTGCCTTGAAAAACTTGATTTGCTGTAGACGATTCGCCATGGTAAATTCGTCCGAATAATAGAACGTGACGAAGTAAATTCACGTAACGAACAATCTGTTCGATAAAATTCTTTAAGATCAATTTGATTTATCAGTCTTGCCAATTTTGTTTTCTTTTTTTACTAATCAAAAACATAAAACATTGATTAAACCATCTTATACGCACTTATAATTGCTACTCACTGAAGACCTTAACCTAAATTTATTCTATCGTTAGGATTACAAGCTCACAGACGAGCACACACTGTTAAATAATTATCGCGAATTTTATCGTGACGTTAATTAAACTTTAACTTGCGCATCTGAAATATGAGATAATGCAGTTAAGGATCATTATCGATAATATATTGTGCATGAGGTACAAGTATAACGATCGACTTCAATCAAGATTCAATTAATTGATCGCTATGATTATTAATGATAATAATCGTAATTTATCGTAAAAACCAATTATATGATTTATACGATAATATTTAAAATTTTTAAATAAAAAAAGAATATTCCTCCTCTCTTATCCTGCACGTACAATCAATGACGATTTAGGTTTGTGCATTTTATGTAATTCGTGCAATTTCTTATACTGCGTCATATTCAAATTCACTTCGTAATTAATCGATGACAGAAATCATCGATGATCCTTAAATATTACGTGGAACGAGATACTTGTTATTTTTAATGACAGTTTCTATGCAGACATTCAATATCTCTGACGCATCGCTATTGATAGGGACACAAGAAAATAATGGCGTCCAGGTCTTTTTTATGTCTTAGACACAGTATTCTATTTGTTTTGAGATATTTATGAGCAGTAAAATTGTATATGTATCTTGAGCTATTTTTACGTGGATTATTTAGTATCAAGAAATCCTGAGGCGTGGTCCCGCTTGCAATTCGATTGCCGAAATTCCATTACGGTGCGTTACGTAAGACAGCTTTAGGTAATCTTTCCGTAATTATGTAAATTTTTAGATGACAGGTTAACATTGCCTCTTTTGATGCCCGATAGACGTAAAATTTGTATAATCGAGTAATTTGCAATATAGGACGTAATCTTTTGTCACGGTTTGAGTAATGACGTTTAGGAAGTTTGACAAATTATGAATCTGTTTGTTCTAGTCGAAAATTATATAAAAATATTAATAAAAGTATCATTCGTGTATTTGTTTGGTAGCGAATAGTTTTCATGGAGCCAACGCGTCAACTACAAAGACTGTGACTACATCCTGAAATAAAGACTGTGACTACATCCCGAAATGGTCATGGATGTGTTCCATCACCTTTCGCTTTTTGCCACTTAGCTGCTTACGCAATTTATGTTCCTTGCTCGGCCAATCGAGACCTTAAAAAGTGAAATGACGGTCGTTCGATAAGGTCGATAATTAATTATCATTAGTTAATTTATCTGTGGTTCGATTTGATTTTTGGAAATAAAATGATTTTTTTTTTATTTTCAACATTAAGATTTTATTGATAATAGAAATTGTGGTAATTGCGCGATGATTGTAGGTTAGGAATTATTTATTTCGCCGATTGATAATCATTAGGTCGATCAAGGAAATATAAATATAAGGAATACGCAATTAACAGGAGTTTCTGTAAGTCATTATAAAAATTTAACAGAAATAGTAATTAAAATTATTATAGACTGAAATGCATATACTTCTCCAGATATGATTTCAGGTTCTTATAAAATGAGAAAAGAAATTAATAAATATTTATGTTAACGTAGATTGGCTCGCGGAGAAAAAAAATATTAGAAAAATAATGTCCTGGATTTATTTAAGCATCGATTGGGATTGTCAAAAAATAATTAAACGAAATAGTAGTCTTTGAGATCACTGGAGCCGAAAGGATTTTTAAAGTAATTAAATTAATCGGAAGTCGCATGAGAGTATCAATTTGATTTAGTTTTGGACTCTGGTTAAATATTTATCGATCAATTATGAAAATATTGAGCTTTGAAAATGACTCACCAAGAGAAAGTAAGCTGGTATTAATAATATAGTAAGATATGTAAGTAGGACCATATACGTATACAGATAGAAACACGAGTATTGCGAGAGTATTAAAAGACCATTACCTAAAGATAAGACAAAGTGAAAATAAAAAAGAACAAAAAAACAGGTCACGTGAGATCAGCGATACTTCGCATAGCTTAAACTTGTAGTTCCGTCATAACTCGTACTAAGAGGTACATTGAGCTACCCGAGGTTATTATGTATTATGAATCCGCACAATGGTCGATGAATTCGTTGAAAAAAAAATAATATGAAAAAGTGTAAAAATTGCTAAAAAAAAATTGGTAATTCATTTCGTAAATGGCAGGTGCAGTTTTTTTTGCATTACTCGCAGAGGTTACGGTACATCATTCAAATCGAATGTGATGACTTTCCGTTCGGATAACCATATAGAATGGCTGTTAGGAGTAGATTTAAAAAATAGGTTTCAAAAAATTCTGCCATTTTGTCCATTGAAAATTATCGGTCCTTCCAATACGAGCGAAATGGATTATTGACTTTAAAAAATGTCACTCTGCTTTAACGAGAATACGTGTCACTATATCACTATGCTAATAGCTTCTCCATACATAGAGGAACTCGAGGCTTCTCTCTTAACTTCGTACTACCTACACTTACCTGTCAGATTCCAGTATGCATGACCATTCAAGGATTGGCTACGCGTCATCAGGTGGAAATAGCAACGCCTGTCGCCGATGCGTAGGCGACCTGCCAATATCTCGTTCCTTGTATGAGAAAAATGGCGACTGGAGAAAGAAATGACAAAATTTTGTGAAGATCGTTGAATATTTGTACTTAAAAAAAGGACTTGTATAAGCAAGCTTGTTCTATGTCGAAGAAAACAAAAAATGTGTACCATAACCAAAATTTGTATGTTGCAGTTTCATCAAGTTCAAAATACAATATGACGAAGATGGCTACTTAACACAGAGAATCATTGTACTGCGGTCATTGATACAAGATAAGGAACAAGATGCATCCTAGCTCGAACTACCTGGTGCATCGTGGAGCTGTTAATCGTAGTTATTCGACCGACGGTGAAGAAAGTCAACGAGCTCCTTCCGATCGTACAATGTCAGAATACATTGTTGCCAACGAGCATGCTTCCATGGTAATTAATGTTAATATACAATGCATCCTGCACCGGGTTGCATTCCTGCATATGAGATTGATGCAAAGTGAAAAACGCGAATGTTATTGTACGTCGATGGAACTTTGTGGAAATCAATGCAGAGATGTATGGGAACATTTTCAGTGTTGTGAACGATTTTTGTTCGTTTAGGTGAAGCCAATGGTTCCATCTCGAAAGAATCGTGGCGAAAAGCACGAGAGGAGATCACGAAGTGCGCATGGCGGACGTGGTTCTGTATTATCTGGTGCATCCAGACAGAGTTTGAATCATTTAAACAAAAGTGCATCTCATGGTAGTCTTTGTGACAATGGTTCAGATATTTATGTAACAAGTGCAGCGTACAAGGCGCCTTCAGAAATAAGGTATGATTTAAGGAGTATTAAATAGTTATTAGATTGTTTGCAAAGAGTATTGTCTTATTTGGAGATGATTGTTAGATTCTTTAATAGTTTTTCTTGGTTTTATTGTATGCGCGTTGAATAAACTTATTTGATTTCAATATTATATGAATTTTATTTTTTCTCATACAGTCGAGGCTCGCACTATAGTTTAGCTCCAAGTTTGAGGGCTGGACACAAAGCACCGAGTCACTACAGTTATCGTTCCGGCAGATCCGGAACTTCGACAGTGAAGACGCGAACGTCCCGGAAAGGTGGTGTCGTTGTAGAAACAATGTCTGCACCGAATCCATTTTGTCCCAACACTAAAGGCATCTGCTGTTTAATGCTGCTACTCAACCTTGGCTTGATACTCATTACTCTGGGTTTTGTTATAGTCATACAACTTTTTGAACCACTCTTTGTCTGGTAAGTTTGTTTTGAGTTATACTTGAGACGCCGTTTTGACGTAAAAGAAAAAATAATCAGCGTGACGTTGCGCTTGATATGTGAAGAATGGTATTTTTCTATTTTGCAGGATTTTGGGGATTGTCTTTCTTATCTTTGGCTTTCTTACGCTAATCGGTAGTTTAGTGTATTGCGTACATGTCTTCAGGAATGCCAAACATCCTCATGACATACATCCGGAAGATTTGTACTGGACAAGGCACTGGCAAGGACGAGTAGGGTCACCACCAGAAATTCATTATAAAGCAGAGGACAAATATCAAGATGATGGTTATAGCGACCGTTATAGTAAATATTCAGGCAAGATGTCTGACAGGCATAGTCAACGTTATTAAGCTTTGAAGACTTACTAATTAAGAGATTTCTTGACAACTTTCTTGAACTGTGAGGTGCGTTAATTAGGTAAGATGTTTCTTTGATTTTGTATTCGACAAAGACATTCTTAGCCTAGGATTGACAGACCCTGAATTTTGTAAGGTATTGTTTAAGTGTTTACGTTGCTACGATGCACAATACATTTTTGTGTATTGTTCACGCGGTATGAATATAACATATAAGGATATTTATGGCTATTGCGTCACAAAAGATAGTTCAGTTCATTTGATTTCCATTAATTTTTACAGTAGAACCATCTTTAGGTGATGCAATAATCCTTAATAAGCGTGTATACCAGTGTATACCTATAACAAAGTTAGGTTAATTGTTATTGACATGTAAACAAAGTTGATCTTGATGAAATGAAATGCTTGAAATTGTAATAACTCACAAAATGCCTATGTACAAAGAGTATTTCGATATTAAAGCTGTGTAACTATTTTAATGAATTTTGGAAGATGATAGTTGTTTTTATTATTTAAAGGGGTGCAATGAAAACTTGCTTTCTGTGGATGAAGATCGGATGGTAAGTGTAATGAATTAATTACATTTATATATATTTTATTAAATATATTTTTTTTATTGTGTTACATTCAGACTCAAACTAATGGTAAATTATAAAGTAATTTCTATGCATAATTTTCAATTGCTATTATTATCGTTTAACACCAGCTGTATAATCAAAGAGTTTTGGGTTTGTGTACACTCCTTGGCTGTCCAACAAATAATATAAGGGACTACCTTTTATTTTAAGTGCTATAACATTCTTTCCTTCGCTTCTTGAAGTTCTCAAAGTTACCTAAATAAGTAGATTTTCAAAGTTATAATTATTGTAGGATCCTAAAACTTCTTAACATTAATAATTTCAATCAATCGATGGTACATACTGATTCTATAGGTATCGTCTTCACAGTAGTCTGTTTAATTGGATGATAAGTGGCGATCATAAACTGTTTGCCTCCCTTGCATAGTATCACATACTTGATAGATCTTGTAATCAAGAAATGTATAACTCCATACGACAGTACACCTAAAATATATAGAACTCGTTATGTGTTTAAATATTGTAAGTGGTACAAGTTCTTGTAAATTTCTTTTCATCAATGAATCTTACCTAACATTGTGGAGCTAACGAGTAAGAAAAACCGTACTGGATTCTCTTTCACATGATCTATCCAATTCTCAGTTTCAAACAGATTTTTGCAATATGATATATATATGTAATATGAAATGGTCAACCAGCCAAACAATTGAGAAAATCCAAATATAGTTAACAATTTGTGAAACCTGTCTTTCTCAAATTTATATAATATTACATTATTTGCTACATTGGTGTTTACTTCATATGGTCGTTCCACACTAGAAACTTGTTTCGTAGACAGCTGTCGGTTACCAGGCTTTGGTATGATTTTATTATTCTCTACCCTGTGTGAACAATATCTTTACACTACATTTATCAATGTACTGCATACAATACACTACTGAGATATCATTAGCTTAACAGCTACAAAAATAAGGTTGTATTTAAAGATCATCCTTGTTCATGTATTAAAACAAGATATTTTTTGGAATAATCAGACAAAATGTACGTATAACCTATAAGTTTACGTTACCTTATCTTTAATCGAGAAATTGAATTAAAAAGTCCATAATTTCGGATGCTGTTTGGTAATGTTATAACACTACTGAAGATTCCACTTTTTTCGCTCTGGCATTGTATTATTTTGCGAAATAATTGACACTGAGTCCCAATTTTCTGAATCGTACAAATATTCCGAGTAATCACTGAACTAATCATTTTGCCTTTGTTATATAAATTCAATATTTTTTATTTACTTTACTAAGTGATTATTCAACATGAAATTTATTTATTAAAATATTTCGTTTCATATTATTTTGTACGGCATCGTCTGCTGCTGCAACATTATAACTGTGTTCAGCAGAAACACCGCTGAGAGAGCAGATACATTTGATTGGTTAAATCTCACAATTGTTGCAATATTAACAATTAAATAACCGATCCATTGTATTGCTTCATTTCAGCTTCAGCGGTATTTCTGCTAAACATAGCCTACGTTTTAGTTTGTTCTCACAACTAAGGGTGTTGATAATTTTGTATGTCGATGATTTCATGAAACGGTGATATGTTTAGCGTTTCAAAAAAATAATCGTATATGGAATTAAATTTCTTTGCTTTTTTTAATTTATGTTAAAAAAATATATCAAAATTAATGTATCATACTGTATCTTTATAAATTTTTGTATTGAGAAAAAGTACAATACAAATATCCATTGAACAAGATTTATAAACAAAGGTGCAAGGATTCGTTATTTATAATTTATATTATTATTTTTATAAACAATATTATTAATTTTGTCATTTATAGTTAGAAAAAACGGATGTCTCGTAATAGAAAACGTAATATTAATGACAAAAACAGAATACATGTTTAGAAAAATGTATTAGTGCTAGTTCCAATTTTATTAATTAAAATTCCAATATTGGGATTTTAACGAAACTTCTCTTTTTTGGCGTTTGCTTTTACGCCACTGCTTAGTTGATTGGCAGTAGAGCAAGGAGGAGCGGCGGTAGTAAGAATGGGGATACGAAGGATGCAATTGAATACCCTTTACAGCTACATAGCTAGAATTTGAATAATAAATTTAGAAAATAACTGAAGAATTTTGTTTTTACTGTGTACAATATTTTCACATACTAATCTTATCTTATACTATATGACAATTGCGTTCCTTCATTTCTATGATACAATTCGGATTAGGATTATTATTTCTTTTTCATAATTCTTTCTTTCCTTTTCTTAACGTGCTTTTTTATTTTAAGTTTCCTTTTTTCAGCTTTTTGTTCCTTCACCACCTTTTTCCGTGCCTACGAATAAAATAGTCTTGTAAAATGGGGAATGTAACAAGACAGTAACATTATTTGCGGTAATATCACATATACTTATGAGAATAAATTTTAAAAAATTAAAATACCTTTCTACTCTCTGGTGATTCATCTCGTGGACGTCCAGTATGAACAAATTTTGAATTCTCGTTATCCTCGTCATTGTCGTCATTAGAACTGTCATTCTCTGAAGTTTCATTACTTTCTAATGATTCGTCATCCTCCTCATTTTCTAATTTTTTCTTCTCATCCTTCGATGCCAAAATCTCAGGCACATCTGCTGGTTTAGAAAGATCGGCTCTCAAACCCACCAATGTTTTATATATTAAATCTTCTTTACCAGCTTTTGCCAATTTTATATCACGCTCTATATCGACAACCTATATTTTAAAATATGCAAATGATTTATTGCAAATCTTTCTCTACACGGATCTATACTTTGTTATTGTTTATTATCTATTATTGTACCTCTGTTAGTCTTTGAGGAATATAAGCTTGTTTAAAAACTTGTTCCTCTATCTCCTGATTTGGATCTATTCCATCTTGGATACGCTGTGTTGCTCTTTCGGATACTGTATCCAAATATTCTTCCATATTATCCTCCGTCACGGTAGGATCAGTTATAAAATCAAAAAGCTCTTTCACCGTCATAACAGCAACGTCATTTTTACGGAAAAATTCTGCAGACCGAATAAAATATGAGAATAGAATTGTTGATCAACTGAATATGTCTAAATCAAAAAAGGATAAAATAATAAGTTTGACAGAAAAGTTTACCTGTTATGTTGTTGCAATCTTTTCTGAGAAATTCAAGAGCATGAGGGTGATCATGCTCCACAGCTTGTGAAACATCAATAACAACAATTGATCCGTCATGATACAATAAGTTGTATTCGCTAAGATCAGCATGAACCAATTTGCATTTATTATAAAGCGTCCACATAGTTTCAACACATTCTCTGTAAAGCTTTCTTGGTTTAGATGAGCTCAACACAGCATCTTTTAATTTTGGAGATGGCCAACCGTTGGTACCAATAAAATCCATCAATAGAACATGACTACGTAATAAAATTGGTTTTGGAGCGCTCACTCCTCCTTGTGCGAGACGAATTAAATTCCTCATCTCTTTTTCAGCCCAAGTGCGTACCATTTTTCGCGGATTATGACGACAGTAACCGTGACGAAAACGAAATTCTCCACTTACATATTTGTCACGATCTTTAAACTGCAGTATAGACGTTTTATAGATTTTTATTGCAAATTCAATAGCAGTCTTTGAAGTTGCATGATATACATTTGCTTCTTTGCCTGTTGATATGCAACCATTGATTTCAGCTATGATACCTTGGTTCAGTAGTTTGAACAAGATCATTCTAGTACGTGGGTCCATGACTTGTTCAACAGTTGCACGATCATGCTTGTCTTTCGTGCGTATACGATCCTTCTCTGCACGTTTATTACTTTCAATAAGAACGTTTTTGGCATGTCCTGGTAAAGATGGTCCTTCGTATTGTTCAACATTGATTTTGTTCGAATATCTTCTAAATAGCTTATCAGTTGGTTGATAATTTGCTACCTTATTAGAAGCAGTCTGAGAATTAGGAGTACGCCTATTTAAATTTTTTAAATTATTTTTTTGTCCATTATCCTCTGCTGAGTACTCCCAATCATAATCTAATTCATCTTCACTTGATTCGTTGTCATGCGTTTCATCAATTTGCAAACTATCTAAATTATTTGCAATCTGTGATTCGAATACTGGTTTTCCCCTTGACAGCTCAACTCTACAAGCAAAATTACCGCTTGAACATGAATCTTTTATGCAATAATTATTAAAAATTTAATATTACCAATGTTCCCCCATATGACAACAACTTTATATATTAAATATGTACTTTTCACTCTAACACATCAATTATATTGATATCTTTTGAAAATTGCATTGTATGTTGTAACATAAAAATACAATGATGTATCATTTAAATTAACCAAAAAGCTTGACGACACACTAGATTTTACGCTGATAAATTCATATATTTTTTAAAAAACAAGAAAAATTTGTTGAAAGATTTTTTTTTAAATCACAAATTATTAAACTATTAAGTTATATTACCAAGGTTATTCATTTAAAATTAATTTACAAATTCGTAATACATACCTTGGAGCATCTTCGTCTGCATCACTAAACTGTCCTTCTTCACAAGGTAAAGACATATTGATATTTTTTAAAAAATTAAGTAAAATATCCTAAAATTATGATGCAAGTAGGAAATCCGTATTAATAGAGCACATGTACTGCATCTACTGACAAGTAACTAAATAGCGCGAGTCCATATGGGAAGAATTGAATAGTGTCGCCATCTGTTCAAATTACAAAAAAAATTTTGAACATTGTAAGGTTGGATTGGAACTGATTTCAACTCGTTACAACGGAAGGGTAGGAGTAATGTTTTGGAAGTTATTATGGAAATTTCAACATCAATCTTTAATTAAAAAAAAAATGGATGTCATCTTTATCCGCACGTGAATTTGTTACCCAGGGTATGTCAGCAGTTTGCATGCAGCTTTTAAAAAAGATTTGGAAATTTATATTATGAAGTTATAAGGATGAAATTAGATAGCAAAGAAAAAAATGCATTTTTTATTTAATTTTCTTCAAGTACATTGGAAATTAATATATTCATCATTACGTTTTTCTTTCATAAGAGATTTTATAAACAAATCTATCTTCTTGCCCAATCGTACCAGTTAATCTGAAATAAAATAACATTTATTGTTAGTAAATGATTTATAAAAGGTACATCATAGGTAATAGGTACATCATTTTAAAGTTGTTAAGAAATTACCTTTGTATTTTTCTAAAAAAGCTTCAATACTTCTCACACACTGCTCATGTACTTTTTCAAATCCTGCTTTGCCACTGTCCTATTTTATACAAAAATTTTCTTTATTAATATTTATTAATAATTGCTGCTCGTGTCCTTAATCTCAAAGTAAAACTTACATAATATGGATCCCTAATAATGATTTCACCATTTGGATCATATTGACCAAGCAATTCTATCTTTGCACTACAGTTTTGAGGTTTCAATCTGTTTAATTCACTAATGTTATCATTGTCCATCCCAAAAATCCAGTCAAATTTTTCAAAATCATCTTTTTTAATCTAGTTATGAAAAACAAAAACTTTTTATTAATAAAACATTGTTAATATAAGGGTTCCCTAATGAATTACATTTTGCCTTACCGGTCTGGCTTTATGAGAATAATTAGTTATTCCTTTTTCCCTAAGAGTGGTCATAGCTCTATGATCCGGATTTTTTCCTGTATGATATCCGATCAGTGCAGCACTTTCTACATACCATAAATCATTTAAACCCTTTTCTTGTATTAGATTACTAAACACAGCCTCAGCAATAGGAGAACGACATATATTTCCTAAAAAAAACAAAACTCTTCAAGTTTCAATCAACTTTTAATGATAGCAACTTTTCCTCATAATTGTGCCATGTCTTTCAACATATTGAATTTGAAAACATGGCAATATTTAACTTTTAAGATTCTTCATGCATGTATACTATGTGGAAATTGTTATCTATTATTTTATAGTTTCTTTTATTTTTATATTTTTATATATATTTATACCTAAACAAATCATGAGCACTCTCTTCTCTGGCATTGCTTTAATCTTTTATCTCAACTTTGGTGATAGAAAACTCTACGACACGTTTTAGGTTAGAATGTAGTAATGTTGAAGAACAAATACAACGATATCACGAATGTGTTGGTTTACGAGTTTGGTTTATCAGTTTTCACAGTTCTTCTATTTCACGAATGGTTTATCAGTTTCACAGGTACTATAGTACTGATGACGTTAATGACAAAATCAGCAGTTCAAAGTATACTGTATAGAAATGAGAAAATGGCGGATTAACAAGGTTGATGAGCGTTATCTCTAAGGCAGTGTAACGTGATAAAGTTCAGCACAAAATCATTCCGTTGCTTGGTTATAATACATTTCTGACGCTAGTAATGTTTTGTAAATTGCACTACGTGGCTTGGTTAACGCAAAGTCATTATATATATTATTTATCTATTATTTGTTGTATACATTATATTAATACATTTATAAATTTTTCATAGACAACAATCATACACAGCATAAATAGTTTTGCAAAGTTTGAATCATATACAATGAAATTTCATCAACGTGTAACTAACAAATACATTACAATTTTGATGAAACTAAATGTCAAAAACTATCTGCATCCTGTTGCATATTGTATATACTTAATTTTCTCAAGTAATTGGTGAAAGTTAAATAATCTCAAGCCTTACAGCATTCTTGATTCAAAGTTCACCAGTCTGAAAAGTTTATTACATTTTTCTAATAATCTCTTGTTTAATATAGAGCACTTCAACAGTAACGGCTTTTACTCGGTTTGCGTGACCTATTAATCTAAATGGAAAAGAATCCATGCATCTACATTTTTCGATTGACTTGCGTTGATACTCTCCGGATTACTTAAATCCAAAAGCTTGATATTATAACATTAATTGCTTTAAACAATAATTATTACATAGAAAGAATTTTCATTTTAAGTTATGCTGTTTAATACATTGTCTAATGGTCACGCGACGTCTACATGACGTTCGCAGTAACATTCTTAGAACAATTGCATTTAGTTGTTCTTGATTGATTTAAGTTTGTCAACGTAATGATACAATAGTGGATAGTAATATTATTAAGATTGTATCTCTAAAAAATATTGAATGCACAATTCGGGGAATATCGGAATTTTCAAGCGAACGGGGCCTTGGCCAGACTTGCGCATGCGCATATTGCACGGGACGTTATTATGTGCATAAAATGTGTATAATAAATTGTTATATAGTTAATCGCCCGAAAATATTACAATTACAATTTATTTGCTAATGTACTTTTAGAGAATCGAAATTTAAAACGTCTATACCATGCTATTAAGGAGGAAAAACGGGTAGTTTTTTTTTCATCGCGCTACGCTACTTATGGCCGAAACGTGGCAACGGCGCCACTGGTTTGGTATGCTGCAATGTTGCAAGCAGTTTCGGTAAGTACGAGCAGTGAAGATTCCCTATTCATTTGATATTTTGAAGATAAATTGTGTTATCGAGAAGTCAGAAGGTGCCAGCAACCTTTTTTGTAGTCATGGTTACTTTACGTGTCCCAAGTAAGGTTACTTCAACTGTATATACTAACACGTTTCAATGAAATTTTGAGAACAGTAATTCTTTTTCCGATATCGGTTGCCATGGTTGCGCAGTAGACAGATAAATGAATAGAGCGCGCAGCGTAGCATCGTTGAATATAAATTTATTAACTTTTCGAGGTTAGGTTTGGTTATGTTACGTTATGTTAACTTATCATACTTGAAGTTAGGTGCAAGTAAATGAACGGCCATGTTAGGAATCGAAATGCCTAGATTCCTCTGTTCTCAAGTTGAACGTTCACAAAATGGCCGACAATGTTCTTCTTGATTAAAATTATATTTTTCGAGTTCATAACCAAATTTTATTTTCGTTATCAGTCGATACTTACTCTCGGCCCCTCCATTATTATACTTATCGATTATTTACATAGGCCTGTTGCTACAGTAAGTCAACGAATATATTCACTTTATTGGAATTTGAAAAGTGCCGATTATAATATTTTATTAACATTTTAGAATGCTTTGCATGATTAGTACGTATCCAATATTAGGTTATCAACATTTTAGCAACATCGCGGACTATCCCGTCAATACTGAAATATCATATTTTAGCTCAAAACCACATGTTGATACAACTGTTGACAAATGAAAAACGTAAAACGTATTCTATAACAATCGTAATGAACAAAATATAGTTACAAATTGTACGTTCAGATCTATAAAGTAATATATCGCGCAGACGCAATAGCGTCATTTATTGCGTAGTAGACAATTATACATGGTGGCACGAAAAAAAAGTATGTCGCCATGAACAAACAACTGCAATATCACGAAAACACTTAACGCGTAACACAAAAACAAGAAATATTTTCATTGTTAGGTTATAACCTACAATTCATAATGGATAAGACGAGCATGTCCTTTAGCACGCAGATCAGTAGTCGCATACTATACAAACTCGTCAAACTACTTATTATAATCATCTTAATTTTTCAATTAAGCATATTACAATCGATTATCTGCATACAGAGAGCGATGACCAAACCTGGTACAGGTTATTTCAGTCATTAGCCTTGCACAAGATTATGATCACTGGTCGATATCGATCCTTGGACGTATACCTCAAAAATTTTCACGAACTCATATATTTGTTGTGGTTTATCTCATAGTCCATAGTTTGTAGATTCATTCATATAGTAAGATCCTTAATAAATTTATATTGGCAATCAATGAGGAAAGTGGTAAAAAGCGATACCATTGATATCTTTACTGTATTTTGAGTCGTTTTAAACGAGCAAGTAGACAAAGAGACTCGTACCGTTGCGTTTGCGTAGTTCACTATTCAGACCCTTGGAAGCGTTTGGGTCGGACTATACAACGGTACGTTCACATTTTGTACTCACTGGCGTCAGCTGGGACGGCGTGGCTTGTTCTCTAAGTTTTTACTTTGTCAATTAACAGTAGTCATCGCAACGATACTCTGAAGTTAGACAGCAATTGGCCAGGATGACGTGAGTAAAGTTATTGTGGTTTGAGAACGTAAACTTTAGCTAATACGGTATCTGGTTATGTGAGTATTCCATTCGAGGTTAGGTTTGCCAAGACGACCCCGCCATCTCGCTGCACGCTCAAGGCCTGTTTGAATTACGATATAAGAATTTTGTTGGTTGAATCGCATTTAGTTTTAGTTGTCTGTACATTTATTAGGTTTCATTAGGGATTTATAATTCTCATTTTGATATTGGTTTTATAATTGTTCATTCTTCATGAAAATTTTCTTTCTATCGGTACAGTCGGTCACTGATTCGGTTATTTCAATTGCTTTATGTTATTGATTATTTCGACAATTGCTATTAGTACTTTTGTGTATAGTTTTTTGTTTTAATCGTGTATAACGCAAATATTGTGCAATTTTGTACAGTTCTTTTACGGTATACGACAAAGTCGTAGTCACGTGATAATGTATGCAACGATAAATTCTGGTCACTTCTATTTCTGTGCCGATGCGCACTTGTTTTGTAATAATTTAGAAAAAAATACTAAAGGCTATAGATTTTTATCAATGCCTTACAGTTTTTATTGTAACAATGATTCGTTTCGTGTCACTGTCTTGCACTGTCAACTGTGAGTGCTTTCTTGGTTGTAATGTTTATACAGTGTCCAAAAAAATGTGACTAAGGTTTTGGGACAATTGTAAAAAATTATAAAATCTTGGACATTGGTTTTTCAAAATATGTTGATCGTATTTTGCAGTCTGTTAAACATTTTCGCACGATTCAAAAAAATGTCCAATTTGTACATCTGTAGTTTTTTTTTTAGTTGAGATACGCATCTTATGCTTGATGTGAATCGGTGATGTGAATTTACAAATGTAAATTGTTTCAAACAATGTCTCACTTAAGGGGTAACACCACTGTAAACGCCCGAAAAAAGGCGTTTTTTTGGTAATTTTTTTGACAAGGAAGGATAAGTAGTAGAACAATAATATTTGGTAGAGTTATTAACACTATATTTAAGTACAAGAGGAAAAATTATGACACAAATATGAAGAAAAATGGCGAGACTAGAGCGATTCGCCCGAGGCACGTTGAATTTGAGGCGCTCTGCGGCTCGCAGTGTAGCTAATGCAGATTTCAACTTTGAATTTAAAAAAAATCCATGTAATCTTTATGATAATAGCTAGAGAACTACGTAGGGGATTTTAGAAATATTGATTTTTGAGTGATTGGCGAGTGTTTGAATAAAGTCGTTCATATTTTGTCGAAAAAATGGCATTCATTTGTTTATAAATAATGTTTAAATCAACTTATCGAAAATCCCCTACGTACTTCTCTTTGAAATGTAATTTTTCATATGTGGTTAAAATTTGGAATGAAAAGGATGAAAATTGTTGAAGTTATACTGCGTGCCGTTTTGAAAAATCGTGTTTCGAGAAAAACGCGTTCAAAGTTTACAAATGAGTATTAAACGTGAATATATTGAACATTCTATCAATAAAAATTTGTTACCATCAATCTGCAATCCGGTATGAGACTATTGCCCCACATTTTAGAGGGTCTAAATTATTTTTTGGGCCAATAAAAAAAATTAACTTTTGAAAAAAATTTACAGTGGTGTTACACCTTAAGGAAGGGATATAACGATTTGCGCTATACTGACGACAAAAAACTATTTTTGAGTAAAGCTGAATTGTTCGTTAGAGTGAAATAATTATAGGAAGGGGATGATTTTCCGCATACAGTTCTTTTTTATTGGTGCATCAACGCTAATATCTGATAATCTGAATCTGCGTCTAAATTGACATTTGGCACTCGACGCTACGTCATAGCGCTGCTAGCGCATGCGCGACTTGCGTATTTCGTCTTCGTGCTACTCGCATTGGTCTTTTAGTTTAAAATCTGGATTGAGTGACAATGTTATACGAAACTTTGGGCTTGCTGGCACAGTATAGTTGAATCAGAAAATTTGTATAGATCACGACGTCAATAATTTTTGTAAAAACAATCTACGTATTGCTTTTATCGACGGAGCTTGACAAAACTTGAACAATACGAATTTATCAATATTCAGGGTATAAATGGAAGCTTAAGTTTTCTTTTACTAATTCGTCAGTATTTGTAACAAATAACTATGTAACTTAAATTGTTGTGATGAAAAACTTATGTATCGTACATAAATAAACTCCCATATATTCTTCATTCATACAATCGAAATTATCTCCACGTTAGACCGCAGGATATTTTCGAATTTTGTTTGCAATTTTGACGTGATAAATAATTCTTCATCGGAGACGCTTGTCGGTATGACTTTAAAGTTAATTTTCTCGCGATCACGTGACTGAATTAATGTCGATAAAAAAAATTCGAATACCAAAAAGTTTAAAGCTGCCCGGTTTCAATTGTCAGCTTCACACTTTCAACGTGTACGTACATATTCTCAAGTAAAAACGTCAAACGAATGCACGGCAGAGAAAGAGCAGTTGTGAAATTTCGATCGAAATGGATCTCTTCGGTCACGTTACGAGCCGCCATGTTCCAAGACTTCGTGTAGGTTCGGGCAAGTTCGGCGCTGTACCCTGGGGCCTGGGTTCAGTGCTCGGCGTTCACAGAGCCAACCTGTCGATAAATTCGCCTTTCTTGCTGGCCGTGTGCGCCATTGCGGTATTCTTAACTTCGTTTGCACAGCAGAGCTTTCACCTCAAAAAACTAAATCACGCGTTAATCGTAACGTTGATCGAGTCGTCTCTCGAAAATAGTATCAACCACGAGCCACATTACACTCGTGTAACAAAACAAACCGTTGTCCGTAAAGAATTTAAACGCGGGTACAGTTTATCAGGGCTCATGGGCCGGAGTTGGCTAGCCAATGAGGCCCAAGCTCCATCTATTTAGTTCGTGAAGAAGTAACAAGTAATATTTCGGTATAACTTCAATCCAGTCCATAATCTTTCGTTAATGGGATCGATTAAATATATTTTTTAAACTCTTCCGAACACGGTTTATTGGAAATATACCTATTTTTCATCGTCATGTACATGTGCTGACCTCGTGCGGCAACATCGATCCGTAATGGGTCGGGTGGTAGTCTAACCTCAGTATCAAGCCAAACGTGTTTCGAGACTTTTCCGTTGAGCTTAAAACATTACGTTAAATGATTGGTTCATGGATTATCCACCTTGTTTTTGTTTTGTATGCCTTCACTCCTGCCCGGGACATTTGTATCATGGTGTAATTGCCAAAAGTGAAAAGTGACTAACGATTCTCTTCAAAATAACATCATCGATTTTCATTGGGTCAGTCGATTCGTGAGTTCGCGCGGTTTAATCGAGGATAGACCAAGGATAAGCAAGAGCTGTTCGATGTAACGTTTAAACAACTTGGTGACAAACTTGTTTGGTACATGTAAATACGGTTTTCACAAAGCGTCTAATCTACCTTTCCACACGCAGTGTGTTTGATCGCCTTCATACAATATTGTTCGTACACAGATTTTTGTTTCCATTGTTTCTTAATATTCCCTTAATGGGTTTTTCTTGTTTATATGATATCCGATTTTATCATGCCGCGCCATTCAACATTCGACATATCATTTATAGTGAACAATGCAGCAAATTAACCAGAAACATGAGAACAAAGAAAAATATTTAAAATAACTTGTGTTCGGCCAATATTTTGTACGCTCTTAATACGCCGTTATTATGAATTTATCGGAATACGTGGATAACATAAATATTTTATTTACAGAAAAATTCGTAACATGGACGTTCGACACAACAGTTAGTTTGATCCAAAAGGTATGGAAATATCGTAAGATTATCACTTTAAGAATGATCAATTCGAATAAAATAATTATGCTTAATTAATGTAATATTTCTCACTGTATCAGTACTAATGTTAAATCTGTTGATTAGCGAAGAAACGAAACAACATTGTATCTAAACAAACTTCCACTTGTCCAAGTAGACTTTGTCCGGATACGTTTATACTAACAAAGAAAGACAAGAACCTCGTACAATTCTACCCTAATTGGATCCTCGAAAAAAAAACATATGATACTTCGGTGATATTCCGTAATTTCTGTTAATCGTTAATTGTTAATAAAAATGTATCAATACGTACACGAGGACGTACGATAACACGCATGACTGTAACGTGATGTCAGATAGTACTTTGGTAGATAAAAGCTTGGGAAGCAAGCTTGGTTAGGTCGTTGCTTAGAAATAGTCAGGATAAAATTGTACTAATTGTTAAAGAAAAAAAAAAAAATGGTGTCGTATGTATACTTTTTTTTAAGGAAGAAAATACTTTGGTAATTCACAGATTAGGAATTGTTAAATGCATGGGTCAAGAGGGTCTCGTGTGACACGTTCTTACCAACCCTTCCCCCATTAAAATGGAGACTATGAAAGCCACCGCATTGCACCCGTCTGAGAAAAAATCCATTACTTTCGAACTCACGTGTACTGGTAGCGAAAAAAATGAAGGTAAGAACAAAGAAGATCAGCTCTTATCAGGAACGGGGAAGGATCGCAATGCGGAGGACCCAGTATCCGAGGGCAGCTTACATTTGAGAGTCTCAGATGTGTGCGAGGCTGAGCAAGATGGGGTCAGTGTTCTTGCCAATCTCGATAAAAAGGGAACAAAAACGACTGGTGAGTCAAGTAGGTGTAGATACGCATATATCGGTGATGCGGTGGTAATTGCGTTATGACCATAGCTCCTCCTTGTAGTTGAACTATGTTCAATCGTCTTGTATCGTTGTGCATTTGTTTTCTCATTGTAAAATAGTTAGCACAGTTTAATTGGAATGCGAGCGTTTTATCAGTTTAAGATTACTTTGCACATCCAGTTCCATTCTGGAACGCGATTCCATCGGAGAATACTATTGCGCCTGGTATTTGGGTTCGAAGAGTTAGCACGCTGTGTGTGCTTCGTTGCGACTTGAGATGCTCCTATATGTCGTAGGGCGTTGAAAATTATGAATTGGTTGAGAATTATTATTTAGGAATATGTAAAAGCTCGTTTGTATAAAGTTAACAAGGTTGATTGTATTATTTAAGTACAGTACTTATGTTATATTTTGCGAGTACAGTTGCGAGGTACAAGATGCAATACTATGGGACGCGTACGATTGTTATTTTGTATCCTAGCAACGGTTGCTAAGAACAACAAATGGCGCGAGATACAATTCTGCATTTGACGCGGTAACGAAGCTATGGTTCTCCGTTATTAATAAACTTCGTTCGCTATGGCTGAAGATTCAATGTATCGGATGTACGTTCTCTTTCTTGAGGATCTTGAGCGAAAGAAAGCCAATAGTAAGTTCCTGCTTGACGATCGAATAGGAAGCGTTTGCGTTGTTTCTTACACGGAACCAATAAAATCATGCAATACATGCTTGAACATTTGTAGATGCGAGTTGTGTGTTACGATGCGTTTACTTAATTTTTTCATTATTATGTGCCGCCCGATGATCGATTAATGAAGATGGTTAACCAACTTTGCGAATGCCTTATTTTTATTTACTTTACGCATGAAAATTGTATGTTAGCTACGTATCATCTGTTTTGACAATTGAAATGTTACATGTGATATTGTCCATTTTTTTTTTATCAATTATATAGTTACTCGTTATACGAGCGTTAAAAATTTATTATTACATGATTGACATAGGTAAAAAGGTAAATTGTATATTAATTATGTAACATAGACAATTTTCTGATTACAGATCTGGTGACGGAGGTCCCCGTTGAATCAGCAGCCGGCAGAGAGTCTTCAAAGAGCAACGAAGTTGTGAAGATCGAAGAGGTTAAGAAGAGTTTTGGTGATAAGAGCAGCGTTGCCAACAGTGTGAATTTGCCGCAAGAGGCGCAAAAGTCAGGTAACTTTTCTGTGGATGATAAAAAGATGGGCGATCGTCAATTATACGATGCCAATAAGAAAAGTACGAGCGCCGATACTACGGATTATAGAGGATCGTCGTGTATTAATAATTCATATTTACCGACTAAACGCTCTGTGCGTGGAAATCGTTGGTCGTATCCGAACGACATGCACAATCTGTCCTTTTACAATGGTCGGATCGAAACTTTGCGCTATCAGTATCGTCTGAAGAAAAAAAGGCTTTTCAGCGAGAGTTCCCCTTACAACACCAGATACTACAACGTGCTACCTCACGCTAGAAATAGAGGTATAGGCAGAAGGAATCCATATTACAATGGAAAGCACGGTCCTGTTGGGAAAATAAAAAATGTTGAGAATCCTATAAATGCGCAGAGTCCTGTAACGGAATCGCAGAAAAACTTAAATAAAGACACGGCGTGTCCTGACATGAGTAAGTCGCTACCGATAAGTGTGAAAAGCGAAGAAGAAGAAAATAAATTTGTTATTGACGATGTAACGAACGACGACAGTGCGGGGACCGCGAAATCGGTTGCTGCTGCTCAGAATAAAAGTCCGGACGAAAAGAATGAATATTTGTCGGACGTTGACAAGAAACCGAAGGATTGTGAAAATGACGGCGGAACGAGCGAAAGGAAATCAGCTGTAGATTCAAATGTTGACGTCGCGCCACCGGTTAGTTCTGAAGAATTGAAAACGAAGCCTGAGGAAGATGCGAAGGAGGCTGTGAAAATCAACGAGGTCGTAGATAATAACTGCGCTGTAAATAATGAGGATGATAAGGGAGATATAAATGTAAATAGTACAACCGTAAACAGTAAGGACGTTTTTAATTCGCAAAATCGTAAAACTGATAATTTGATACCGAATGATACTGCTGTAGAAAGTAATTGTGATCGTGAACTTACTCAAATTGTAAATGTTGATGATGGTCAAATCGTCGCTAATGAAGTTAACGCCACTAGCGACATCTGTACAAAAGTAAATGACACGTCCGCAAAGACAACCGACGCGCAAAATATTGAAAACGCTAGTAATGCAAGTCAGGAGAAAACTGATGAAACCACAAAAAATGTACAGACGGCTGACCTTGCGGTATCAAGTTTACAAGTGGATCGTGAAGGAAACGAGAAGCAGGGAAGTTCCGCAGAGACTAATAAAGACTTAAGTAAAAGTAGTCAAGAAATCTTACATGCAGAAGATGCGAATGCCAAGACAAGTGAATCATGTGATAAGGAGGATAAAAAAATTGAAGCGAGTGATTCTAAGGAAGTTGCCAATGAGAAAGTAGTACCTGCAATAACAAATGGTGTTGAAGATATTGAAAAAAAGGAAGATGTTGAAAAATCAGAGGTGCCCAGTTTATCCGATGCGAGTATAGGAGGCGCCAAAGAAAAGTTAGATGTGTCAACTAGCGATGTAGAACTAATAACTGTAAAACCGGAAAACGCCATTGCGATGGGGAACGATGAAAATAATGCGAATGACGTTTTGTCAAAGAAAATTGAATCGAGTGACAGTAATATCTTTGAGAAAAAAGACAACGTCGTTGCTTTAGAAAATGACGTGTTGAGCGATACTGATAAAAATGATTTAGAGACAGGAAGCACAAAGAGTACGGATTCGCTGATCGAAATCCAGACGGATGGATCATCGGTACAGACTAGCGTGAAAAATGTGACTAACAAAAAGCGTCGAAAGCGGAAGCGTCCTAAGCGTAAGGCGAGTCGACGGAAATTGACCGTACCGGGAGACAAGTCCGTTACAAAAACGGCCACAACGAACAGTGTAAAGAAATATGACAAACAAGTGAATACAAGGGGAGATAAGAAATCTATAGACACAGAAAACATAACAGTTGATCTTACAGGTGAGGAGCTTTTCGAAACGGTTACAAAAAATAGTAAGAACACTGCTACTGAGAAAAGTAAAAAAGTACCAACTCCTGTTGGCCGTAACAGCAGAAAGCGAACGTTGCAAATGCTGGTTGCAGTACAAGAGAATGAGGTTCAAGAGAAAAAAAAAGGTACGGACTGTCATGTACAAAAAAACAAACACTTATTCAAAAACATCTTATTCCTTCGTTCTTTATACGTTACCACGTGGAAGTACCTTATGCAGTAGATCGTCAAAGCGGCATGTCCTTGTTGGATTTTCAAAAAAAAAAAAAAAAAAAATGTAGGATTCATTATGAAGAGGATGGTGCATATTTGTTGCCTCGCAAGGTAGACCGTTGTAAGGGTTGAAAAAGTGGTGAAAAAAAATTCACAAATTCCTTTCGTTTAATTCATAATCAACAATGATCACTTTGCGCTTATACGATCACACTGCACATTTGTATATTTTCTTTGTAATTCGCTAGAACTCCACTGTGTTGCTGGTAACTTGTTTAATCGACCATAATTGAATCTTTTTGTCTCCAGAACAAGAAAACAGTCGGCACAGGAGAAGAATCGCGAGAAACGCAGAGGCGATAATTAGGAAAGAATCACTGAGTAGCAAAAGCGATTTTGAGTTAATCAGCGAGATGGATAAAAATGTTGCCGACAAGAAAAAAACAACTAACGATACTAAAACGTCGGTAGCAGCAGGTGAATCAAGTTTGAAGCGACTTCTTCAGGATAACAATGAAATAGGGGTTGAGATTAATGTGAAGAAGCCGCGTATGAGTAACGAGATAAGAAAGTCAACGGATAAGGATCAGCCGGTGCAGAACATCGAAGATCCTATTAAATCTCTTAATTATGTGCGCAAGTTCTATCAGAGGGATGTCAAGGAAGGATTAGCAAAATTGACACAGACAGTGAGTAAAGTTTTATAAAATATTGTCAAGACGTCAGCGTGTAACATTGACGATGCAATGAATTTATTTCTTATTAATAGTTCAGTGAAACTTATTGCTTCTTGATATTTTATATAAATAGGACTTGGAAGAACTTCTCATTCAGAAAATTGTCGAGACCATAGCAATGCGTGGTGAGATTGGTAAGCTTCGTGAACAGGCCAAAATATCTGAAAGAAATCAGGAAACAACGCGCGTAAGGTGCGTGCACTTGGCACGACAGATAAAGGATTTAGAATTAGTATTGAATCATTCAATCTCAGAGCGACGTTCAAACAATGAAAAAATAGTGGCACCAATCAAAATCAACAGGTCGGTTGGATTGCAAGTGAACTTCACGACGGTAAGTGTTTATAAAACAATATTGAACATCATCATGTGCTGCATTTCTCTGTTACTGTATTCTTACTGTGCTGTACTTGTATCTCCAGGATGGAACGATTCATAATTTGCGACAATTACAACAGACTATGGCTTTAAAATCAGCGTTTTCACCAAATGGAACAATTACACCGGTTCCTGAACCTACCGAAACTCCTGTGACGATAAACTCAGTCCCAAGACGTGGACTGAAGGTTAGATCACCACGAAGGATCGACGTTTCGTCGTCTATGCCGGTGACACCTGTACAAAGTCAAACGCAAACGACACAAGCTGCTGTTAGCTCTGTTGCGACGCCTACTGCTCTGATTGTAGGAAAGTCTTCTGATTCTGTACATTGTATAAACAATTTCAGTGAAGTCGCTACGACAGCTTCATCATTGCCTAAAGTTAATAACTCATCACACACTGCCACGGTATGTCTTTGCCAAAGGGAAACTTCAAGCACAAAAAATCAGTTTAGGTATTTTTTTATATATATATTTTTAATTTCAGCCACGAAGCGTTGTTTTAAATGGAAAACTTCCTAGCCCGATGAATCGCCAAGTTGCGACAGGGAACTTCAAAAAGACTGCTATCAACAACGATCTCATTGATTTAACAGATGAGGAGGAAAAAAGTAAATGTAAGTTTTGAAGTATTGAAATGATTATTCAAATTGATACAGTCAATGATATGCTAATACTTTATGTTTCTTTTTTTTTGAATTAATAAAACTATGTATTACAAGCGACGCGCTGCTCTTGATTCTTGTAGCTGTTCGTGTTACGCAAAATACTGTGAAGACCGCTGTCATTGAACCAGAGGTTACTATCGCATCAAAGTCTCAAACCCGGTATCAAAAGGTTTTACCGGCGCATCAGGTCTTACCTGCAAACGTTGCGGTTACTACACAGCAAAATAATATTAGGTTAATGACACCACCAACCAACAGTCCAACCCCAACTGCCCTAATGGTACATAAAACATTTTATGCATGGGCTTTTTTGATTTTGTTTATATTCATAATTATCAAGTAAGACACAGTTCCTTCATTATTTTTCTTTTGTTACTTCTTTGCAGAATAATATGCAAAACACTGCACCTAGGGTTACATATTTTATGCACGGTACAGGACAGACAAGGCAAATTGTTTTAGCACCAAACCCAGCTCAGGTACACACGAATTTTTTGTTTATCTCAGTTTATCGTTAAAAGTAACATTAAGTATTATATAAGCGTGGTATAAAGATATAAACATATTTTATTTACCTTTCAGGTAAGACAATCCTCTCCAAATACCAAGGGGCCAGTATCCTCGGTCACATATAAAACAGGTTATTAAATTAATAACAATAAATAATTCTGAATTTCGTAAACATTGCTTTGCACATTATATATATTTATTTCTTTTTATACACAGGTGTAACTCATTTAGAAAATGGTATGAGGTTGCTAACAACACCGTCCATCCCAAACATTCATCTTCTTAAGGTATGTTAAAACTAAAAAAAATGGACTATTATGTTGAACTAAGATTTAGCATTGTTTTGAAGTATGAAATAAATGAAAAAATATCAATTACAGCATCCAGCGCCGTTACCCGATGTTCGCAATAATCCAAGTAATCCATCGTGGAAGTTACCGCCTCCAGCTCCATCGTTAAAGATAACTAAAGTACTAAACGGTAAGTGTAGTTGTAAGCAATTAATAATTGGCTTGCACTTTAATTTTTAACACAAAGATATAGAACTCATATAATGATGTAAACGTAAAGGTCATAACGTTATCGTAACACAATTTTCAATGTTATGCACACAATTTTATGAGCAAATATTTGTCATGAAATGAGTTCTTTAATCTAGTTAATCTTACGGTTCTTATCACATAAATTACGATTTAACTGCAGTTCAACTTATATTTGTGTTATTACATCTATTTCAGGTATAGTGCTGTCCTGGAATATGAATCTCAATGATCAGTATGCTAAGATTGTAAGTTATCAATTGTACGCCTATCAAGAATTCCCGAACGTGGTTCCCAGTTCAAATCTTTGGAAAAAAGTTGGTGACGTTCGTGCGTTGCAATTGCCAATGGCATGCACTTTGACACAGGTATGTTATTACTGTAACACAATGTAATTATACTATATAAATATAGTAGAATAATATCTCTTCTGTCGAAAAGTTATAGTTAAAAGAATGTTACTTGTTGTAGTTTTCCGAGGGCAACAATTATCATTTTGCTGTGAGGGCAGTCGATGCGCATTCCAGACTAGGACAGTACAGTCTGCCAGGAAATATTTCCTTGTAAGCATCAGTTTATAAAGTACGATAGATGTAAAATATTTACATGAAAAGTTTCCCTTGTCCAATGAGCTAATGCTAATTTTGAATCGCTCTTAATAAATATCCACACCGTATTACGATTATAAAAAAGTGTAGGTTCTCTGTTTTTTTATTATTATTATCCTAATCATACGTATTCTTTCTAGAGTTAAGTAGAAGCTGATTTTGTTTTGTTTTATTGAAAGATATGAAAATAAATATTTTGCGGAGTACTGAGTATTAAGTTTAAATGCACAATAGAACACAACTTTTTCCTCTTTTGGTCTACATATTTAAAAGCTCTCGATCTGAGAAGAACAGGACTGCAATAACTGATTTAATGTAAAGGAGCGGCTATGGGGGAGCGGGAAGTACACTAGAAAAATGGAAAAATCTCACACCGTAACATTCTAATTTTCTGTAACAATTTCTAACGAAGATTACTGTGTTACTATGGATTAAAAGAATAAAACTCTAGTCGACTATTCAATATTTTTTCTTATATAGTAAATTATAAATTGCTCAATATATCCATTATTTTAATAATAGGTCATTAGTAGGTACTCATAAAAAATATCATTTTCGTTTATTACGAATAACTCAACCCCTGTATCTTTAATAATAAAATTAATTCATAATACAACAATTGTGAGTGTAATCGCGAGCTCTTACACCTCAAAAAAAAAAGTAAAGAGCCCGCAAAAATTGTTACAAAAAATGTATCAATGTATTTGACATGCTTTTTTTTCAACAATTTTCCAATAAACCTAATTTCGTCAAACTGTCGTGAAAGTTAATATTTTAAAGCACTGTGACATTAAGAGTATCCTGTTGTTGTTTGCATTTTCTAGCATCATGATATACGATGTTTATATATTTTAACGTAAAGTACCCATAGAGTTAATACAGATAGAGCAGACAAGCCAGCTCTCAACGCGGCAGTGGCGAAGGGAGAGATAGATGCAAATCAGGGTGCAAAGACGGATAGCTAAAGGGGTTCAGCTATCTCTTTCTTTCTCATTATGAACGAACGGACACTTCCACTGCCGCGTTGAGAGCTGGCTTGTCTGCTCTATCTGTATTAACTCTATGAAAGTACCACACGGGATGGTTCTCCAGTTCTTGTGGGTTAGGCGGTTTCGAACCGGAATCGACTGTTAGAATTTTAGGAAAGAAAATAATTGAAACAAAAATAAATGAAAGTGCAATTTTATTTTACAAATTAAACAAATGAAAGAATACATTCTCCTAAACGGTCTATGAAGATTGTTAACACGAGACTAACCAGTATTGTTTTTGGTGTATTTTTGGAAATAAATTGGCATATATATTCATTCTTTTATCTCGACAAAAATGAATATAAATTGCGAAAAAAGTCACCTTTATTTCTGTAATTTAAAACAAGAAATTTGAAATCTGTCGTTTTTACCAGTTTGGTTGTTCTAACGGTAATGAAAGCCCAGCCTACAGATGCTGGATGTTGAATGCAAAAGACTATGTTGATTTGATTTTTCTGAAATTATTCTATATACTCAATTTATTCTTCAGTTATTTAGTATACTTTTTTTAACTATGTGGCAACAATAAACATTTTTTCTAAAAAAAGCATTAATCCAGAGATGTTCATTGAGCGAAGTTTGGTTTCAATTTATATAATACTACCAAAGGAGTTCAAATAAGTTGTATGGAAGCTTCTTTGACCCACTGTATATCTACATACAAACGTGACTGCAGTATTTTCGTCATTTGGCCACGTGCGAAACTGCCATAATCGAACTGGTCGATTATTGACAGATCGTTCGGATTAAAACAAAACCTTATTCTTTATTAACGTTTAAATGTTATTCAACATATGCAGTCGTCGATTACGCACGGTAGTCATTCAATACCTTTTAATTCCTGTATTTAAATTTCCATTGCCAATCGTAAAACCTCCCACTATTTAATATTAGTCTGTCTTTGTATATATACCACCAGCTTTTATATTTTTTTTGGCTATCGCAACATATGTTTTGCAACGAATATGAAAACAGCGCATTAATCTGTATTCTGAGAAGTGCGACAGGAACTTCAGTAGCATTTATACCATCTAGATAATGAGATGGTACAAAATAATCTGAAGAGTCCATTTGACTGTAAAGATTATTACATGCTTGAGCGAAAAAGAAAAAAGTGAAATATCAATTTATTCCCACAAGCAGAGAGTTTATCGCGACTCCTTATTAGAAAAATTATATCCATTTATTTATACTGTTATATTTGCTCACGGCAAACGAATAGTGGCGTACGTGATATTTCCAAAGAATTTATATTTAACTCAACGAACATTGCCGAGTGGAAATAAAAAGATTCCGTGTTATTTTTTTCATCCTCTTTGTTTTTTATCTTTTCCTGTCATCATTAATGGCAAGGTTGAGTATGAATGGTATAAAGTTTTATGTATTTTCGTTTCATTATATATATCGTGATAATTTATACCATGCCGTCGTCAAGTGGTTTCTACGATAATTATTCATCAATTTACATAAGCATACCGATATTCTTAAGAATACTTCGATCGGACTGGTTGATCTTTAAAATGACGCCTTGTCTGCTTACATACATTGTCTATTCATAATTGCAGAAGAATACAAATGACACTCACCCTGCGTGTCCTGTTGATAATTGAAACTAGAAGAACGTCTTTGGGCATATAATCAAGAGAACACTTAACTGAAAAAAGTGTCTTCACCGAATAAATATTAAAATTTCATCAGAAGAGTAGATTGAGTTCTGTCAACGTTCGATTACTATCGCGTTCAAAGCAAGTTCGGATCAACGTTGCGTTGCAAAATTTATCCAGTAGGTGCACTGCGGTAGCAAACATAAAGCGCCAATGTCGATTTGCATTCGAGGATTTCAGAGATACCGGACGTGACGTTTACTAGTAAGAAATTCTATTGGCCCCAAGGTAGAATAATATGCATCAACAATTACCACCAGCCTTAAACCTTAAGAATTCGACTCGTTTTTACCGACGCGATAGCTTACGCGAAAATCCAGAAGACGTCCGCTCTTGTAGACGAGTGTTCAATGACGTTAAAACTGCGCTTAGAGACCTCAACAACGGTCAGAGTGTTTCGATCTCCCACTGTGATTCTTTGTGTTGATGAGTCAGACTGGAATTATGTTACATCAAAAAAAAAACAGTCTGCAAAACTGCGGAACGACCAGCTTGGGAATGTCGATTGTGCTCTTGTGTATGACCTAAAGTGAGTATCGCTTGGCGGAAACTCTGAGTGACTTGTATAATCGTGCAGCTGGTGTCGCAGCGAGGGTGGAAACGTCGCGCAACAAGACTGGAAGTGTCACGGCAGAGTGGCAGTGCATCCGTGCCAGCAAACAGTGAAAGTGGTGGAGACGCACCACTGAACTGCTGTGAGATTTATTATGAGCGCACGGTGCAGGCTGCGTCGATTAGTAGTCCCATTAGTGAAGACGATGCCGTATATTCGGACGTTAACAAGGCAGAGAGAACGATTTCATTTGGAGGATTTGGACTTCGCGAGAAGAACCACGAGAACGGATACGAAGACATCGTCGAGAAGGCCGTCCAAGCACTTCCACGTGGTGGTCCCGTGGCGACTTTAACAAATAGTCGGCATAGACGTACAAAAACAGATGCCCGGCCAAGTCGTTCTTGGTATGGTGGATGCCTAGGGTATCCTTCTTACAAGGAAGTTGAGGCTGCAGGACGTCGTCGGTATCCATCGAAATCATGTTACGAGGATTTATCTGGAAAGCAGTCACGTGCAGGTTCAGCAGAATCTCGTGGAGAACGTCGTAAACTTTTGTCTTTGTCGTGTTATGCCAAACTGGCTGACAAGCCTTCTAACGATTTGCCAAGAGTTTTTGGAGCAGGACCTGCTACTTATTTGTCATCCCCTGAGGGGTTTACTGATTTAGAGGCAAATGGTATTACGGATGCTAGTGGTAGTAGAATAGGTACCATAGAGCGTGGGATGCCTAGCCTCCATTCGTTTGTTGTAAGACGTCCCATGGACATGGGCAGTGCTACTAGTTCAGTTACATCTGTTCATCCTCCTGCTAAAAATGTCACCAGTCAGAAGAAAGCTGATAAGAGCAACAAGCTTGCAGGAATTAAGTTGCCACGATTACACAAGGAGTCTAGTGCAGTTAATTTATCACCTGTGGAAAGATCTCTACCGCGAAAGGGAGCCAATGCTCCTCTCTTAAGACCAGAGAGCAGTGCAAGTTTAGAGGCTCCTGCTGGTGGAAGCTTGATTAATCTTAGTCCTGGGTCGCTTCGCAAATGCGAAACTGCTGTTGGACTCAGTACTCTAGCTTTCGAAGGTCGACCTATTAATCGAAGTCGTGTATGCTCTCGTTGCTCGAGTTTACTCTCGCTTGCATCCAGCTCGAAATACAGTTTAGCTGCAGGTAGCTTTGTTCCAGCTGCATCTCAACAAACTGTTGGACGGTTTCTCTGTAAGCTCTGTCTTGTCGATGTATCACTAGCCAATGCATCAAGAATCGAAGCCTGCGGTTGTTCCTACTGTAAAGATGTAAGTTGGAATTGTTCACTGCAATGAACATCTGTATTACGTATTTAATGATTTATGCGTGAAGCACAGTTGATATTGAAATGAACAAGCCTCGTTTCTTCTCTCATCGTTATATCTCAACGTACGCCTATTTAATCTGATAATTTTCGTATATTCTTGCATAAAAGCGGTGCGTACAACCTTTACATTCAATTGCTTCATGCCCTCAATTTATTTATAAAACTATGGATGGCACAAACAACGAAGTGACTTGTAAACACGGCTAGTGTACTTTGCACTGGTCATTTTTACGATCCCACGGTTTACAAGAAATTATATATTTTTTCAAACGTATTAATCATTGGCAAAAAGTATATTTTTTTAGGTTGTTCAGTCACTTTTTTAGTACCCCAATTTGGCTAAGCTGTAGAATACGACTCATTGAAGTTAGTGTGGATCGTTTCCTTTTTTTTACATGTAGTCCTTCAAGACGAAGTCGTATTTTGCAGGTTTAACCAGAATTTCTACCGAAAATAAAAATGATATCTTTCTAAAGTTAACGATGACTATTCCATACGTGACGTTTTTAAATTTGTTTATAACAGCAGCTTTAAAAGAGCTCGTTACATAGTTTAATGAATCCTAGTTCGTGAATCAAATTACCATTACTTTACAAATTGGCCACTGTTGAGGTTATACTAATCACAAATAATTGACAGTAACAATGTCATACCTCTAATAACCAAGTGACAACTAATTGTAAGACATAACTCTCCGTACTGAAATCGAAAAATTAACAATTGTAAAAGGGACATTTTTATTACTACTAAGAATTTGTATCCCTTTGATATTTGATTTCACATTATTCACGTCTCTTTTCTCGTGCCACTAAAAATTATGCACACAAAAAAGTAAGCCTCGCGATTCGTTTTTTACGAATTGTAGCGAACATGCGTTTTTATAGATATGTATTTCTAACGATCTACAGCTTGTAAGTAATATATGTTTTTAATGAACAGATTACTGGTCTTCATTAGTGAGGATTATACAGGGCCATTCAACTTACATCCACACTGATTTAACTGTTATGCGATTGTTTTGATTGGGCAAGGTTTGGCAATACTTTGTAGCCAGAAGCTAACAAAGTTTTCCTATGCTAACGTATGTATATTCCAAGAATGCAATAGGGCTCTCTAAATTCTTGAAAAAAAAATCTACCACCGGTCAACTGCTATAATTATAGAACGATACGTTCATAGAATAGAATATTCAAGAAAGGTTAACCTAGCAGTACGAATTAATTTGGGTCACTAATTTGTTCGTCCTTCTTTCTATGGACGTAAAAACTGCCACATCTGTCTTTCTCGCACTAACGGCTAATACAGGGAACTCAAAAATTATAAGAATAATGTTTTCGTAATTCGACAATGAATATTAGTAAACTTTTCCATGTTTTTTCACTGTACCGGTAAATATTGTTTAAAAAATATGATCGTGCTATAAATGTTAAATGCAATGTTTACGGCGGTTAGCAATTTCTTACGTGGAACCTAAATCTCAAGTGACCTTAAGAAATATGCTGCACGTGCATATATCTCGTTGTTCTTTTGGTCAATTCACCAAGATAAAAACGCAATTGCTCTGTAATAAAATTCTTTATTTCATAAAAAGTCGAACGATTAGACGATAAACTTGGCACACAAACCGAAACGTTATACCTTGATACCATTCCCTATACTGTTTGTACAATGTTGAAATAATTTTACTTCCCTGCACGTCATTGGAATTTCATCTATTTCGATTTACAATCGTTTGGAATCCTCGACGAGGCATTATAATTAATCTGAAAACCAATAACGACAATGACAACTGAAATGAAAATACGATTTCAGTATTCGTCCGACGTACGAAAAACTGCAGTACAAAAGTGGTAAATTTTTGTCTCCCCGAGTAATATTTTTCCATTTAAAAAGTTCTGCTAAGAATATTTTTATCTTCGTCCTAAAGTGTTCGCATGATACGTACGAAGCATATGAAATCGTCGGCAGGGAGCCGATGCGAGTTATGAATTATTCATTTCTGCAGTAGGAGTCAAGTTCTACAGTTTACTTAGTCGAAAACTCGTTGCTTGCATTATACATGGTCGCTCGGGTAAATCATTAATGTACGTTACATCCATAATACGAAATATAACTTTTTTAATATTCAATTAAATTAGAACCTCTTTTTAACTATCCCTTGTTAAATCAAGAAACCGACATCCGGATAGATGCGAAATGTCATTAGCCAATTTGAATTTAGTGTCAATAATATACGGCACGACGTGCGGCCCATTCAAGGCACAAATTAACGAGACATTCACCGGTTATGATATTCGCAAAGTTGCGTAGCTAGAATGTCCCACAACCTTGGTTTTACGGTATGCTAACGAAATTCCAAATCGCCCGACATTATCCGTCTGCATACACTGTCGCTTTGGCGCCTACATAAATATATCGAATAGACAACGAATTCTTTAATACGAAAAAAATGATCAGTATCACGATTAATATATAATTAATAAATGTATCCTACCATAGGCAGTAGTACGAATATATTATTTTTAATTAATATATTTTTCAGTGCATGCAGGCGTACGTGGAATTTGAGATCGAGGAAGGGGCCTATGAAATCAGCTGTCCGGATGCGCAGTGCGAACAAACGGGTGTGCTCGGCTTGGCGGAGATTTCAACTATAGTCACGCCGGAACTTATGGAGAAGCATCGAAAATTTCGCTTGAACAGAGGTGCGTTAAGATAGTTGCTTGAAAGGAAGAAAAAACGACGTCTTGCTATGCGTCATAAAAACATGAACTCTTATAAATCCTCTCTCAGCCAACTGGTTTCATTGAGAAGGAATTAAATTTTACATCACGGTGAATCCTCGTCGCTTCTTCGCTTTCACTTCCATGTAAACAACTCTTTGACTTGTGCCAGTTGAGACACACTGAGAGGTGCAGTTCGCACGTGTTTTTCAATTAGTTTACTTTCCTTATCGTATACACTTTTTCTGTCTGTCCTTCTATCTGCATTTTTTTATCTTCGTTTTTCCCCGTACACTTTTTTTTTACCGATACCATCATCATCTCTATAATTTGACATTGACACGGATGCAAATCATTTACATAAACCGCATGCCAATTTCCAGCTGGCAAAGCATGCTGTTCACTAGGATCTCTTAGTATTATATGAAAGAAAAATAATTTAGTTTCATTTTATCTTGTTAAGAAGATACCGATGACAGCTTGGCTTGATGAAACAAATATGTGAAATTGTATTATTTTTTGTTGTTGTAAATACTCGCATACAGATAAGAATCGAAAGGCACAGCATTTGGGTTAGAGTCTAATATTGGTTCTCATGTACCTAAACACGTGCAGTAGACGTCACTTTATTTTTTAAGTTTTGCTGATGTTTATCGAAACAAAATGTTGTTGGGATTCATTCTACAGATATTTCCATGGACAAGGGACGTGCTTGGTGTCCACGCGCAGGCTGCGAGACTATCTGTTCCGTGAACAGTGAAGGATCTGGTGGACTTTCTCCAGGACCCGTGCATTGTCCTGGTTGTTCAACGGATTTTTGTTCACTGTGCCGGGAATCTTGGCACAGTGGACCCTGCCCCGATCTTCCTCCTGGTATACCATTTGACAGTGACCATATCAAGTGCTGTCCCATGTGTTCCGTTCCTATTGAGAAGGACGAGGGATGCGCACAAATGATGTGCAAACGTTGCAAGCATGTATTTTGCTGGTACTGCTTGGCTTCCTTAGACGTGAGTATTTTCCGGTAGTGTCAGTCTGGCATGCCTGGCTGTTGTTGTGTCATGCAGAGAAAATAACACTGATTAACAGATAAGATTATGGATTACGGATTATTCTTGTACTGCATTAAGGAACATTTTCTTTTTATAGAATGGCCTTAGCGTAACGTGATTATCAGCATTCGCAGAATACGTTGCTTAGCATCATTACACTTGTTTCTGTTACAATCTCTGGTCGATATTGTTGCTAACAATAGAGAAAAAATCAATTGGTTGGTCATACCGTTACTAATAATAATTATCGTGTGCTAATAATTATGTGGTTATAATTTGGTATCTTCGTATTACGCACCATCTTTTTAATATATATTTATTCTTCTTCGTGCAAGGCTAAATCATTGAGTCGTACGTATAACTGAATGGTGCAAAGTTGCTTTGCAAACAACTCGCGCGAATGTCTTTTTTCCTCTTAAACTCGAATGATAAAAAGTGCTTGCCGATGCGAAATAAATCTATGTCATGCGTAAGAGTTTAAGGCACCGATATAACTTTTCTATATATATGTAATAATTTATTGTATATGTTATAAATTTTTGACCTGTTCGACTCTGCTTACAAATCTTCTATACTTTGTATGCGCATAAACACGTGCAGCTTTGTGTTGGAACGTAATACGTAATTCTTCATTGAAGACAATAATACAAGTACCATTGTATCGTTATCTTCAAGTCAGACTGATGTCTTATCCGTTATACCCAGTGCAAGAACGCTAATGATTGTCGTTCAGAAAAAAAATGTGTTGAATGTGTATTTGAAAGAATATAATCATATAAATTCTTTACTTTTAAGTAAGCACCATGTATAACAATAAATAAATTTTTTAGGACGACTTCTTGCTGCGTCATTACGATAAGGGACCATGTAAAAACAAGTTGGGTCATTCACGTGCCTCTGTTATTTGGCATCGAACACAAGTCATCGGGATCTTTGCCGGTTTCGGTCTTCTTCTACTAGTGGCATCGCCATTGCTATTGCTCGCTGCTCCTTGTATAGTATGCTGTAAGTGTCGAGTGTGCGGTTCCTCACGACTCGAGCAAGAAGAAGGTAGCCCACCCGAAGACGCCACGACATAGAGACTGATGGAGTCACGAAATATTTCATAACTCTGACTAAACTTTTCTTTTCATTTTTTATTATATATTCAATTCTGTTTCCAGTCGCTTTTCTCATATTGGCGAACACGTATAACTCGTGAGCAGAAGTTATCCTTGGATATTTTGCGATAAAACACGAGTAAATACAGAATGAAAATGATGGGTTTGCCTAATATAACTTGACGACTTATCTTTTTTTCTCTTATTTTTACTATTCTAGTGTAAATAACGCCAAAAGGCATACAGACAACGTTCGACAGAAACGTTGTCAAGTCTATCTTGGTCTATCTCATTATTTACATCGATACTCATTGGTTGTACAGATTATTATTTTCTTATAGACTTATTTTTAAGAGGGAAGGTAGTGATCTATTTTTATTTTCTCTATCTCTGTCGGTTTCACCTTCTTCATATTTTCTCTTCTTGGTTCCTCTTTGCTCTTCTTTGATATAAATACTAATTTTATTCACGAGAAGTGTGGATAACATATCATATTGGTTGCAGGCTTATTATGGACATAGATTAAGAAATTTTACTTTCATATTTTTAATCGTAGCGAAGGTGTTACGAATTTAATATATGCGGGCATGACGTTTGTCATTTGATTTCGACGACGAAAACCGTGGCGCTAGCGGAACAAAAACTGAACATTCCAAAAAGAATTTCGTTTTCTCAACTCATTTGCTTCCGTTTATGTATGTACAAAAATGCTCGTGTTGTTGGATCTTGCGTTCATCATTTTTTTAAACGAATTTGTCCCACGTTTGACAATTCATAAGTAAATGATAAACCGTGAATAAAACACAGACTTGATGTTAATAATTTTATTTTCCGTTCGCTTTCTTTTTTTTTCATTTAATTTTACAACAAAGCTAAAACTGTGTCTTAACATTTTTCTCTTGTATAATCCCTTTCGCCGTGAGGACCTAGTCATTATCATTGCTGATAATCAAATTTCCGTAAATATCGTATTGGATTATACTTATACCGTGTAGAAAAATTGTTGCTTTAAGGGTTGGAAGAGAAATAAAATGAAAGGAAGTAACCGCGAGTTATTTTAATAACGTGACATTCCGGACGATAGTAGGGCTTTATTTTTCATTGCAGTAATATCGGTTGTGTACTCATTATTTTGTGAAACAACCAATTAACACCAAAGAGATACTTGAATAAGACAGGAATATATCGATTTATAAGTTCGCTCAAATGTGTTACTTATTGTGGTTCGCGCCAAAAAATATCGACACGAATTGCTACACTTGAGAAATAACTGAAAATATTCATTTTAACTGAACAACCCCCTGTCTGGAATTTTAATACTTAATCCAATGCGCTGACTGTAGACGTTGCTACGTGCAATTTAAATACATTCAGTAAATACAACAATATTATGTATGCATATAACAACGTTCTAACAACAAAATACGTTAACTACCAGATTCTTTGAGTTTACTAGTCTTTGCTAAATTTTTAAAAATACAAGAAACATTTGTTTATCGGTAAAGAGGAATTAAAGGGCAAAGTGAATCACGAAAGTGTCGCTTACACAAGTCAAGAATCATGTAACACTAGTTAGCTTTCTTTTTTAATATAAAGATAGAGAAGTTATGAATGAAAGTTTTTAGTCTTAAAATTAACCCTAACCCATTTCATGCGTTGTACCTAATTTTCAAACATGGATATTGATATAATTAATGTCTTTTCACTAAATGATTACATCTACGGTATCTGATACATCTTAATTGTTTGTTACGTGCACAGTCTATCTGTTTTTCACCATAAATTCTTGTGAAAGAAGCAAATAAATATTTCATACTTTGTCTAATGATGTATCCGTTAGTCTATAAAGGACAAAGAAAAGTATCTTTTTAGAAAACACTAAATACACAATAGAATCAGTGCGCAGGTTAACCACAGGAAAGCTTGAAAAATGCAAAATACAATTAGTATGCTTACGAACATGATTGTCTATGATTGTTGTAAAGTACACATATTTTTGTTGAGACATTATCAATTCGTGTCTTGATTGTTAAATATGAACACAAGACCGTGAATATTATTTTATTAATTACTTTTTTTAGTTAAAATATAACAATACACATGTAGCAAAACTAAAATAACTGCATCTTCGCGTTCAGTGTTTCAACATAGTTTTCGTTTCACATTCATAATATATATAGAGCATACGATGCCTAAAGAACAAAAATATTGTTTTTACAATAAAATAGTCAACAAGTAAATTGCATTAGACTTGTTTTGCGCGTGAGGTAATACTAATGATTGGCAAAATAAGCTTCTAAAGAGAAACAGGATTCGTAACGCGTACAGCAATTAACAAGAATAATGAAAATAAAAGAATATTTCAAAAATTTGATGAAACCGACAGATCGGTCGTCGTTAATAAATAAAATATACAAAGAGCCTATATGATTATTAATTCTATAAAAAAATAACAGTTATATAACAATAGTCTTCTGTTTTCCTTGATTTAATACCAAACGAACTTATGTCATCGTTCACTGCCCTGTTAGAAAGAATCACAGTACACCTGCGTCCATTAACATTTATGAAATCTGTCAAATAATAAAAGTTAGCATAAGAAATTTTAATTAAAACAAATAATAGAGATCTTCCAATTGCACGTAATACAATTTAAACGGCGCTACGAATGTTTCAAGGCTTTTATGCTGTTCGGCTATCTACAGTTGAATACTAAAATCGAACTATATAATTGTTTAATAATTAGAGATATATGTGACGATAGATTTAAATTGTAGTTATATTGTTAAAGTAACCCAGTTGTATTTCCGGGGATTGTATTATTGGTGATTTGGCATTATTATTAAATATCCAAAGGGAATAGGCGTACGGTATATTCTTTCCATTTATAATTTGTTTTTCAACATTGTATATATATGATATATATATATATACACACACATATATTGACTGTCTAAATTTAAAGTGCAACCATTATGTGTAAATATAGCTTAACGTGACTCATATAATTGTAAACATTTTGTACATAAAGATATATTAGACATTATAATTTTCCCATGGTTTTGGGTCAATGAGTCATGCTTTAATTATTTCCATATCGTATGATACAGTTAAGGTGAGAGAGATTATAGAAACATAATGATAATAAGAGAGATTCGATAATATATAATTAATGATGTCTGTACAGAATAACTCTGAGTTTCTTGATGATTCTAAGGCTCTTTTGTGTGGACGACGGAGAGAGATATTTTTTATCGAGTATGTATATGTGAGATTGAAATATAAGAATATTAAAGATATCGTGAAGTTTATACATAAATTGTATTCTCAACCGAGAGCAATGAAGATTGTTAGAAAAATATAAATGAGTGTGCCGTCTGAATCTTGGGAGTGGTGAGAGTCTAAGAGTATCTAATGTATGCATATGTAGCATGGACGCAAGCATTTTGTGATTGTCTGTTGTGCGTTAATGAAGAATTAAATTTTGGAAGCGTCGAAAGCTTCGTTAAATGTATTTTTTTAAATATATTTAATGGTTCGAACAGTCTGTAATAGTGTTAACAAGAAACGTGATAGATTTTTCTCGCTTTCTGTATACTTACTCGATAAATATGATTCTGGACGCTTTGCGAATTATTGGAATGTAACAAAAATTTGCAGCGACACGTTGTATGCAAGTGTGCAATTTTTAAAGAGCGTAGAGATTGCCGCGCATGCGCAATGGCGTCCGTCTCCTGTGCGCACGCCATCTTGTGCCAAGTATAGTACTAATTAAACTTGACGATCATGATTAATTTTTTTCTGACAACCGAATTGGAATCTCTAGTTTACTCAAAAAATAATTTTTGTTAAATAATCAACTCGTTTTCCGAATATTTCCTGAAATTCTGCGATTGGGTTTCATTGTATTTTCTTTTCTTTCGCTTTATTTTCATTTTGTTTTCTTTATTTTGGTGTCGTGGCGATCGTACTTTCTTGCGTACGGTACACCTATGCGTTTATCCGCTTTGTCGTTCGGGAATAGAATCAAAGGCTTTTAAATGGTATTAGCGTAAGTCACCGTGGATTTTATAGATGATAGAGTAATCAAATGTTTTATCACAATAAATAATGTCTGCGCTATAAAATGAATTGCAACAAGAAATCTTGAGTTTTGTGTACACAATAACCGGATACCCCTTTTCATAAATTAAGTATAGATATTGAGGGATTCATTTGTTACACAGACTGCTGTTCAACGTAATTGGCACACTGCACGAGTTAAAAGTCGAACGAAAAAAAATATCCTATTTAATTCAACCATCAACTTTCACACTTCGTTTGTTTAATTACCGATACAACGAGGTGCAAGGTCTCTAAGTTAATTTTTTTTTATAATTTAAAGTAACGCTGGATAATCAGACGTAATATAGACCACGCGACCAGTTTAAGGTTATGAAAACGAGATGTGAACGACAGTGAACGTTGAATTGGAGTGTATCGAGCAAAGTTATAATTATAAATCAAGTACCAATTAATTATAACAAAAATTCGTCCACGAGAAATATCATTGGCCCGTTGCATGGGTGGCCATAATATTTCGTATAGATTAACGAGAAAACGTTCCATTTTCCACAAATATCGAAGCCAATGTCAGGGTGAGTACATGACAAGGACATTATCAATACCATTAGCTTGTAATTGTACGATCAGTAATAAAAATTAACCTAACACAGGTCGCTGATACCAACTAGTTCATCGTCAGCCATTACATATCATAATGGAGGCCAGGTGAATGAAAAAGTTGAGACTCAAAGAAGCAACAAGATGCCTGAGGGCTTTGTGTGACCGTTGGTAGTGATGCCGCTGGTGCTGCCACGCCCGGATACTTCTTCTAGCAGACCGCAAGAGGAGCTCCAGTTACACTTCAGCGCGTACCACCTCAGTAAGATGGTCCAGCTTTCATCTTCCACTTCGTCCATACCATTCCAACCATCTCATCCGTATATATATATATATATATCGCATGGCAAGACTTTCAATCCCTTCACCAACCGTACTGGTATCTCATCTGGTACAAATACACCATGCCACTTCATCTTCCATCTCAAAAGACGGCCACACCTTGGGATCGCCACATCGCCACCCTGACCCAACGCCTGCTTCCTTCTCGTTCCACTTCTCCCTATCAACCTGTTCACGCTTCACCGACTCGGCTCCTTCACCTAGCCTCAACCCGGATATCCATATTACACTGAATACCGCATAATTATGCAGCAAGAACTAACTGAGTTGGAGGCCGTAGTACTTTCGGAGAAGATGCTCAGAAGGTTCGTTTGACCTTCGAAGAAAGAATTGATATTTCTGTGATAATTTAATGTATTATGATAAAATGAAAAAAAAGACTTGAAAATTAACCTTTTTGGTATTCAACGTAAGAGGTGTACGTTATAGGTTGGAATGTAATTTTGCAGATTCTAATTACGGTGTGTTAATTACAATCACGAAAAGCCGTCAATTTCTTCGAACTTTCCCTTTCGATTACACGCAGTTCCTTCTGTACCGTGGTTGTGCGTGTACAACTTTTTTTGTTTGAAGACTTTTCCTGGCATCACCACTTGAAAGGAGCGCGCGTAATGCAGAAGTAAGTCGGGGCGCTGGCGTCGCTTTATTTTTGTATGCGACACTCGTACGTGGAAAAGTCGTTACAATTAGAAGACACACAATTGGCCATGTTGAGGTCCTGTTCGTTCGATCTGGTAAGCAATTAAATCACTTTCTTCTACTGGACGCGATGGATTTCACGACTTAATTACTCCTTGGTTTTACAGTGTTGTTAATTGGCTTTTCTTACTTTGGTACAGTTCGAGTATATACTTGACGGTCTGAGCATACGTCGTGTTAGGTTAGATAGTCATTACTACTGTAGGTATTCCTGGATTTCCCATTTAGGAAAGGTTCATTAAGTTTATAACCCTACTTATCAAACTTGGTATCTCTTCACTTTGTTTTTTAGCTCACGAAATTGAGATATACAAGATATAGGATGGGAAATCAAAATGCGTTTGGGTAAAAATTTGTTAGGTGTACTTTTTTTATTTTTATTTTTATTACAATAGACGATAGCGTAATATATACGTGTAATATTGAATACACAGTGTTTTTTGACTAGTCACGCGATTTTGTGTGTTGAATGCCATTTTTTTAATAAATAAACGAAACATCGTTACGTGATAAAAATGTATAATGGCGGGGTCAATGTTGCCTTTACGATTACTCGTTTTAAATAGAAGCTGTCATGAAAAAGTTAGTCAAAATGTAGTCAGTTGCATGTTTTATAAATAAACATAAAATAGTGCTTTGTAAAAAATTTTTTTTCTTCGAAAGTGGAAAAAAGTCGTCTTCTCAATTCGAAAGGCAGTAAAAGATGAAAGCTCAGATACGATCTATGAAAAAAATGTTGAGTATTATTTAGCCTACTGCTATTGCTCATGAATTTTTCTTTAATTGTTCGAACATTATGTATATCGATATTTCACAGTTAAACAAGTAAAAGTATTGAATTTTGCAAAAGGCTTCTGGACTTATCACGAAAGGAACAGTAGCCCTTTCACATGACCCCAATTTCACATTATACATATATATATGTATACATATACCTTGGACACCTGGGGCAAGGCAAGGACCAGTTTTTAATGCACTTGTCAGTTAATTCTCTTTCTTATCTTTTTTACATCTATACATCCGATCCACTTAATTGAAACGTAACAATGAATACCCTGGGGTTAATGTGGAAGTGAAAATCATAAACTTTTTGTTAACGATCATACATATAGAGATTTAAATCAAAGTAATTTTGATTCAATTAACTATTCATCAATCTTCAAAATTTAATGTATACCTGTAAAGAGAATTAAAGAAAATAATTCTTGACTGCTAGATAAATTTTCTGTCTTATTTATCTCTTAACTCGTTTACTCACTGCGCAAGACATTGATTGGATCATGCACGAATTTCCCCTTCGCTTTTTGACTGATTATCAAAGCCTTTAATTCTCTAATCAATCATCCCTGATGCAGACGCATGTAAAATATTAAAATATTTAAGGAGTTTCCGAATTGAGTTTCAGAGAATTGGTAGTATGCTGGTACAGCATTGCGGGAAGTTAAACAACAGCTATAGCGTGTAAGGATATGCGAATACTAAGGGTTGGATGGTTGAGAGAATTTTACGGGAATTGGAAAGGGAGGAAAGTTTTCAAGTAACCAGACTGCCTTGGGCAGTGAGTACTCACCAAAAGCATCAGACAGGATGAACTTTAAAGATGCCTTAATAAGTTGAAACAACCAGAGGCTGTATGAAGATTGTTCGATCGAAAGCGAAAACAACAACAAGAAGAAAAAAAGCAGTACGAAAAATTCGTAAATTAGACACATTGAGAAAAAAAATGTTTAATTGGTTACAATTTTTTAATAATAAAAAATAAAATTTAGTCATCCTACACAAAAATATCATATAGTCTTACTTTTTGACTGACCCTAGTCTAGTTCTAGGGACTATAGTTTTATTTTTACAGAAAACATCCTACAGTTATATTTTTTGGATACTCGCCTGAAAATGGTGTAGTTCTAGGGACTTTATATTTATATACCAACAAGCCTGTATATAGTTTATTATTAAAATAATTTAAAGAAAACTCAGGCTTAACGGTTTCGTATTGCATATTTGGAAAGTTCAGTTTAATCTTTAAAGTTTTTCCTTACCTCTACAATATTACGTACTACAGGTAATATCATTCACTGTCATAAAAAGCTTTAGCTTAACACTATAAAACATCAAAGCACCAATGAAAATACGAAAATTGCAGCCACCAGGTACTTCCCATCATAACGGAATGCGTATCTTCTCTTCGTTAGACAGAAATCAGCTGGGAGTCTTTTACCCTGATATGTATCTTCAAAAAAAATATATAAATTTATTTTTTCTACATTCCATACTAATGGCCGAACCATTTTGAATGCCGTATTAAAGAAAAAAGAATTCAAATATAATTTGCATACTACTGTCAATCTTAAACGATCACCGCCCATTCTTCTTGATCTTTGTCAATCTCACTTTTGATATTTGATGTCAAGAGTGATTAGTCAAGCTTTACAAGTGACCTTGAGTTAATGACCCGCAACCAAGGTAGTGTCGTTCCAGACGCCAGACGAGGTGGTGTATTAGATACCGAGTGGTGAAGCGCCAGAGTGGACGAGAAATAGTATGCAGAGTCAGAACCGCCGATCGTTTCATCCTGTTATGAACTCGAATGGGCGGTTCCGTTAACCAACGCAAAGTCATTTAGAGCAGGGTAGAGTAAAGGTGCGGCCTTTCTCCATTTTTTGCATACATTCCACTAAGATCATCAGCGTACTACCACCCGTACAAAACTATTTATACCTAACCTAACAACACGAATTATCCTAGTCGTATAATATATCCCTCTGTGAATCTTACCGTTGACAGGTAAGTAGCTTATAGGAACATAACCTATAAAAAAAATCGGTGAACCGTTCTTTGGTTACTTTTTGTTAGTAACAACCGCAAAAACACAAAAAAGTTATATTCTTTTAACGGGCTATTGTAACGGTTTGCGAAACCTGAGCTATATCTCGATTATCTAGATCATCGGACAAAAAATTATCACCAATTTTTCATTCACAAGAATTTTCTACGTCACATTGCCGTTGTTCGTTTTATTGTTGTTGTATATTGTTATATGTTTCAAATAGGGTTACCTCAGGTGTCACAATGGCTACGTGTATGCCCTCCTAGCACACCTGTCAAAAAGCCATATCATATTTACGTTCAATCTTATTAAGATTCCCAGACTCAGTGTTTTTCAAGTGAAGAATAAAATCGACGATTCCCGGTTTGAATGAGACATGGGAAAATCATCGAAGAATTCAAATTGTACTTTTACTTCCGGGAAAATCGGTAATGGTCTTGTCACGTTGTTGCGAGGTTTACCGCGCTGCTGTATCATCCTTGTCGATTTCATGATGGTCGATAGAAAGCCGCAAGAATATCTATGGATGTACCTTAACGTGACAGAATGTCAGTTCTTCGAATTATCTTTGGTACTGGTATATATAATATTGCTTCATGTTATAAGGTATATAT